TTAGTGTATCAAGTCAAGAGATTTAGGAATCCTTGATGTGCGGCTGTCGATTTGTCAATCACACTGGGGGGGCTCGGATGCACTTATGTGGCTATGATTTTTGTGATGCTCCAAACGCGAGAAATCAATGCGTTGAAACTTGAATTGTCCAAAAAAAAAAAAAAAAAAAAAAAAAAAAGGAAAATCGAGGAATTGGATCGAGACTGGGAAAGGTAAGGCAATACAATACAATAAACCCCACCCTCTTTGCTCCGTTGTGAGTAAGTTTTTTGATTGTAACTCTGGCACAGCAAGAGTACAAAAGGAAAGGAAGGAGGGAAGGAAGGAAGAATATAGATATGTATGAGTGTATTTATGAGTGTATGTATGAGTGTATGTAGGATGTAGGATATAGGATGTGTGTGTATGTATGTGTATGCAGAATATGCAGGAAATTCAAATTGATTGATTTGAGAGGTGCAAGTACTTAATAAGAAGTTTAAGGTAAGGTACTCGGAGTGTTCGTACTTGTTCAGGTACTTGTATTTAAAACAAGGTCCCTTCCAGGTTGTCAAGGTGGGTGAGTGGATGGTATATTTTGGTGGTGTTAGGTGATGGGTGATGGGTGATGGGCGATGGGTGATGGGCGATGGGTGATGGGTATTGGGTATTGGGTGTTTGCCCTTGAGTGTACGAGGAATATGGATGGTATGATATGGTGTGGTATGGTATGGTATGGTATGGTATGGTATAGTATGGGATAGTATGGGATAGTATGGGATAATACCATATGTATGGACCGGTATGGATGATGCACAGATATAATGCAAGGGTTCAAGGAATTGACTCGGTCGATCGATTTTTCTGCGCATATGCAACCTAGAACCCTTCCTTCTTCCCTTTGCTCTTTAATAATAAGGCTCTCAGAAAAAGGATTGAAATGGTAAAAAAAAAAAATAGGTGATGATTATTAATAAATGAACGTATGGACGAACGAACGAACGAATGAATGGATAAATAGATAAGTAAAAATGAGTGAATGAAGTGAAGTATATTGAGTTGCAGTTCGTGAAGAGAGATTGCTATTTCTGAATCTTTCTCAATTGATGGAAAGAGATCCAATCGCATTCGTAGACTGTTTTATATGAAGATGTAATCGGTTGGTGGTCGTACGTGGTTGTTGCTGGAGGTGTCGATGTATTTATTGATGTTGATCTCAATGTCAAGTGGTAGTTGCAGTTGCCGTTGCAGTTGCAGCTGCAGTCGAAGTGAATGTCGTATTCAAGAGAACCAACTGGTGGAAGGGATTGGCCCTCTTCCCTTTACTCCCACTTCCTCTCTACCGCTCACCCTCACACTCGCTATCTATCGCGCTCACCCTCACTCTATTCCTCAAGGACCACTATCTTCCTTTTGGCGGAGTTCCTAGGTTTGTACTTCTTCTCTTACCTTGTAATGAAATGGGTCCCCCAGATTTGGGAAATTGTGCACCGTGCAGACCAGAAATCTACCTAGGTACCTAGATAGCTGGAAATGTGGAATTCTGGTGGATGTCGTGGTGGATTTCAGAGCTTAGATTGTAATTCAATGATTTCTTTTGATGTTTGGTGTTGACAGATTTTGAAGGGAAAAAAGTACCGCACTCTCTATCCTGACAATGATTGATGTGATGTAATATAATAATAATAATAATAATAATAATAATAATAATAATAATAATGGAATTGTAGGACTTTCCACTCTCTTCATCTTTTTGGATTGACTTTATTCTCTTGTTCCTCTTCTCTGCTCTGCTACAGGCATATCTTTTACTCTAATCATCATTGCTATGAAGATACGAAAAAACTTTAACAAGGATTGGTAATTAATTTTCCTATGATTTTCTGGTAACGCAACGGTCCAAGGAGACGGTTGTAATAATTAGTACTCGTATATGAGATATCATTTTTCCGTGGTTTTCCAGTAGCAACATGGACGAGATGCTGTTCATAAAATAGCTACCGAGTATCCCCTATCAAGTCAAGTCATATTAAAAGTCCTCTATTCTCTCCTCCTCCCTCAACTATATGAACTTCTCAATCCACTGAGTAAATGGTAATAAGGAGAGGATACGAAGGGTAAGGTTTGATGATCAATCAATGATCAATCAATTAGTTCTACGAGGTATACAACAGCCGTACCATATTAACAAGGGTTCTAGCTTTCTTTTCTATTACTTCGACGACCGACTGACTGTTCGACAATTTTTTGACCATTTCCCCTAGCTTCACTTGTTCGAACCTTGTCGCTGCTCTTTGCTTCTTTTTCCTCTGATGAGATAGATGCACGCTCGGCACGTTAATTCAATTCGATGTGATATGCAAGGGCTAATACTCGTGAGATTTAGTGGAGTAAGAAAACGCCGAAAGAGGGAGTGACGAAACGGCCGCACATACCAATCAAAGAACTGTGCCTGGGCTGCGCTTTGCTTGATTGATGGTGTAGGATTCTCGGGTTTGCAAAGAACCAATTGATGGCAGTGAAATGGGCAAGGAGGCGATGAAGGGGTTACGAATTGCTAAACTAGAGAATGGGAGAATGGGAGAATGTTATGGATAAAGGCAAGAGAGCAAAATTGAGAAGCACTCCCACGAATCGAATTGATACTGGAAAGATTCAATTAAATTCAATATCAATGGCATTCGATTCTAGTCCGAGGTCTATTGTTTCGTGAAAGATATGACAGGGAAAAATCGAATGGGATTAGACAAAGTCACGCAAGAGGAAGGGGTCTATCAGTCCAGTTTTGGCATTGGCGAGAGCATCCAAGAGGCCAGGCATTGCGATAGGTAGACGGAACAAAAGCATCTGGCCATGATCAACCACTTCTCAGATTCGAAGTTTTCTTCAAGGCATGATATTGATGTCTGTTCCCCTCCATGTGATGCGAAGAAAGACGTTGATTCTTCTTCAGCTCTATGCTGCATTTCATGCTTGTTCAAGGAACGGTCAAGGAGTACGTACAAGGCAAGGTATTCTATAGGTTGGATCGTGTGATATTGAAATCATATGTGCTTCACAATCCATTCTTCCTTTTTAGGCCAATGCTGAAGGGATAATCGAAGGAATTTCATTCACGGGGGCTCTTGATTGGTAGTAATCATTTAAATTCTTCCCCCCATTTCTGTCCTATTTGGGGTAATACTCGGGGGGCTAACAGCTCCCCTTGAAAGGACCCTCCGAGGTGCCGGCGAACTGTACTCAATCGAGTCTTAGAACCTGCGTGTCTTTTTGATATCTATCATGCCCTTGATGTCCATAAGGCGCAGCGCAGTAATCTGTCCCTAACAATTACCGAATGTATGAAAATAGTTATGATTGATCATCTCGACTGAGACAACTTTGAGAAATGGGGACGATATTTCCTGATTCCTGGAAACGAGAGAAAATCCAGTTGTGCAGCTTCTCATGTTGTGTAGTATCAGGTACCAGCAAGATACCTTTCTACCTTCTTCTTTCAAAGTCTCATGCTCAGCTACAACAGCTTCTTAACCATGGATTGGACCTCACACAGACCCTACATGATGTATACTACATAAACATACCCGGTATATATATTCATTGATGTCGTAGCAGATGAATTGACCAACGTCCTTGGCTGGAGTTATTCACGGCTCATCTTTTTGTGTATCATTGACAGCCTCACGATAATCTAGAGGTCGGAAGTATATCTGCCCAAAAGGCCATTTTTTCATCGTTCCAACAAATCATGTTACAGGTGTGGTTACAGCAGCAAGTAAGTTTCAATATATCGATCGACCTGGGATATTTCTATCAGAACTCTTCTTTTACTTCGATCCGATTGAATACAATCGATATGCAGTGCAGTCATGGTGTGTGTGGTTGCTGCCATGCTTTTTCCCTTGACTTTGAGTGTTGATGTTTTGAGATTTTGTATCTCCGTCCGCACCACCTATTCCTTTCATTTTATCTTGGGAGTCATATTCTTGACATAAGTGCGCGGTCGAATTCGTTTCTAGGAAATTACTGACGTCTTCAATTTACGAGTTAATCAATCATCAAAAGAAACATCTAATCAACGTGCCAACGTGCCACCGTTCAAACAGCTTCGCCCATATCCGAAAAGTTGGGGATTCCGTCGCCACTGGCTAGATTTGTCTCTTTTTGTATTCTCTTCTCTTTCACGTAACTAGGCGGAGAGTCGGGGACCTCTTTCATCGGTTCGAGCTTGGAGCTTCTCCAAGGTTTGTGAGACATTTCTAGGATTTTCCAGGATTTCCATATCCTAGCCATCGCCGTTCCATGCAGCCTCACTGTAGCCAATTTTGGACCTGCGCACGTTCCCCAGGATTATTTCGGGGGTCGGTCCCATATGAGGAAACAACATCCACCTTTCAAAATGCCAACCTTTTCTTGATCCAGTAACGGCACGGTTTGGGATGAAAAAGTATCAATCCAAATTGGACAATGGTTGGTTCACTTCTCGGGATTGTTACCTTATGGTTACAATCCGTCAAACCACCTCCCTCCGACTGGCTTGGGTTCCTATCAGATATCTTCAACACAACGTTCAAAGATTCTGATACTGTACCGATGCTGATAATTGTCCGAACCCGTCACACAACATTCTGATCTGGATTCTGTCCGTCTTGCTTTGTCTCTGTCTCACATTACCTTGTTTCGAAGGTGCAGGAGCTCAAGGTGATCGAGTGCGAATCAAACACGTGCGATCACATTCTCCTCTTGATCAGTTCCCGCATTGTTAATATAATGATTAATCTATCATGTTGACGAGCTCTCCAATAGCTTCATTTTTGACAGCGGGTAAGGAATTAGCATGGAGGACCAAGCCCAAGTTCAGTCACGACTTTACTTGACCATTTCGGAAAACCAAAATCCTCACGCCTTGATATGCTGGACTACCTTCTGAATAGAGCACATCACTTGCTCACTTATTCATGTTGAGCAAAATTATGGGATCAATGTGGATAGGATCTCCATGATCATCTACGACTTTATTTCTATTCAATGGGCATTATGGATACTTGAATTTCGCGCTTAGACAAATTTAAATAGAGACCTACATCGGCATTCTCACGGTAGTCGCCGTTACGTCCGACTGGAAATGTTTTGGGTGTAAAACGGGTCAAAAATATGACGATCTTCCACAGACATAATGATGTGATGTGATGTGAAGCAAGCAAACAAACAAAGAGCCAAGACAAACGGGCAACCTCAGTGCTGATAATAATTAGCAGAAGCAGGGAAAATCCAAGCTCCGGAACTCTAAATCCATCAAGATTCGTTCTCGCACCCGTCATGTTGAGAATAGATGTGATGAGACGCCGTATCTTTACTATCTAATAATGGTCATCGAGATGAAAACATTCGCACCCACTCATTCTTCGATTATCTTCACATCATCATCACAGACGGCCCGCAGTACGTGATGATACCGTGCAAACCCAATTAAACCCCACGCGAACAGGTATCTGATCAACCATAATTGTCGAGCAGCATTATCACCTTGCATATCTTACCATCTACACCACACGACATGAGCCCACCCACCAGCATCAGGCTGAAGTATCAAAAGCATATGACTGGAATGGTCCCAATGGTTACAACAAGGCCAAGCTCTTTGGAAAGGAGAAAGTAACCAAGATAACATTCCCCGTTCCGCGAAGCTGTCATGATGTTATGTTCCGAATCCTTTCGGAGCAACGCAGTGATATTGAGATTGACATGGGACGGAGATTTGGGGATTTCCCCTCCTACTTTATCTGTAACAGATGCGCCACCAGCATACATACATACATACGAATCAATGTACTTTTCGAGACTTTTCTCCCGCTTCCACACTGTACAGCGAGAATGAATGGAAGGATTTCCAGAACGTGGGATGCGTGCAGCTTGGCTTGAAATATCGCCCTCTTTCCCTCAGGAGACGTTGAAAAATTAAAAGCCACCAACACACACCCAACTTCACATCTGAACACAACAATTTTCTGAAAAATCACTTGGGGCACCATCATTCTAGAATTTGGGATGTATTGGTATAGTATAGAAGTGTTAAAATATGATACGAGATTAGATGTTCCAGACTCTCAAATAGACCTACCTATATTTTTGCGCTCCAATAACAATTGATCACTGCTGTGCGTGAAGGCTAACTTGGACTGTAGGATCTAGAGTACAGCATACATATATAGATACATACGTACATACATGCTCTACAACCCAAACCAGCACGTAAATACCCCCCTAGGTACGGGGAGTTGACCCCCACGCCATCCACTCACAAGCCTTACCAAACATCATCCCACCACCACAAAGCGAATAAGATCTGTAGGCGGGCGGATTCGGCAATGGTATGCACACTCTCACACTATGTTGGCACGCAAAGTTTACCTTAATGCTTATGCTTATTCTTATCGTGGATAGAGAATGGTCTTGCTTTTTGGGATAGGCTGAATAATGACTATCTTATGGGTAGGGATGGGAAGTATGCGGGGGATTTGTAGGGTGTGAAAGGTTCGTTCGTTCGTTCGTAGTGAAGCATGTATCTCTCGTACGTATGTATCTACTTGGATGGATCTGCATGCATGCAGCAAACCTGATGTAGGTACCGTATTGTATTGTATGTATTTGCCTCGCTTGCTTTGCTTGCCTTTTTTTGCCTGATAGAGTTTTGGAGCTGGAGCATAAAGGAGTGCGAAACGTATCACGCCAAGAACATGTGACTGAACCACTGTGTTGATTTGGTAATCAGATTCAGAAATGGACTTCTGGAAATTGGAGGGAATGTTCAAGAACGGGTATTATCTGTTCCATCCCTTTTTCTTTCGGTCGGAACAAAGACATTGTATTGAGTTCGGGATGGGTGACTCAGTGGGAAATTCCCTTGACATCAATCTCAGGAGTAGACATGCGACGATACTGTTTATAATGGGACCCGACCCAATATATGCTTCCTTAGAGAACTCTCATGATGAGATTGCCCTTGCAAGGAGTATCAGAAACAGCACACGGTTTGTAACATAATCTTGGTACCTGACGGAGTTTCCTAGATTCCATAAGCTTGTTTTACCTCGGATTGCCCGTTCACTTTCCTGCTACGGAAGTGTAACTTATAATTAATACAAGTATTCTGGAAATGCTTCGCCTCAAAAGGTCTCACCCAGGACTTTGGCTCTGGAAATTGCCCAGCTCCATCGCCAAATGAAAGCCCCGTCGGCACATCGGCTTACCCCGAAAAGCCAAACCCGTTTTTCGAACAAAGCAAGGAAAGAAAGTCTGGAGACCGAACGATGGAAGAGAAACCTGCTCGCGAGCGAAAGTTCCATTAATCTTTTTTTCTCTCTGCGATGTCGGTTGGGTCTTTGATTGATACGACATGGAAAAGCGGAAGCTGTATACCGCACCGCGAGATATTATGGAGATGTCTGGAACAAAAGCCGGGCTGGGTGAGAGGTGCTTTTATGGGGTTATCGTTTTGCCTCTATTGATTGGATCGCCAGGGGCTTTTCAGGATGTCCGAAATATGTACATCATCGAATACGAATATTCTCGAAACTTTACATGCGGCCCACTCTTTCTCGATTCCCAATTCCAGAATGAAAAGTTATGGTTTTTCGAACAAAACAAGCGCAGAAGTCTGTTAACATTTCCATATCTCAAATCAAATACTCCGAATTCCAAGGGTCTGGGTTAGACTTTGATAGCGTGTGTTTAGTGCTTTACACCACCACTGAAGAGATAGGCGGACCCTTAAGCTAAGGCCCTAAAGGATGGGTTTTCTAGAGGCATCACTATGTCCCGTATTTAGTTTCTCAAGCCTTAGAGACTTATTTAGTAGTCTAGATAAGTTTACTCTTACCGTGTGATCGCCGTGTTAGCTTCTGACTATGGCGTCGAGATTGGCATCGCGAGTTGAATGTCACGTTTTTCCCACGCTTATTAGTTAATAGTGATGAAGCACATTTTTTGGAGCTCAGTGGCGAAGGCGGTTAGTTTCGATGTCTCGTGCCTACGTGCTTTTTTCGGATTGAAGGTTAGCATGTGGCTATTCTGTTGTCTAGCCTTTTGTCTGTGATTTCTATGTATCATCGTCAACACTACCTACGCAGTAGGGGTCTTCCTAAGATAAATTCTCCTAGTCTTCATGGAAACGATACCACACACATCTTTAAACACTGGCTTCCAAATACAAATACCAAGAAAAATACGGCACACAGTTCGTGATGATCCCGAGATACTTCCATTCTCTCCTAGCGATTTCGATCTAGTATTGCTCCATTGTTACTGCCATGCGACCCATATAGGCATTCTTTTCCTGACGACAATGAAAGGAGTTTTGTCTTACAAATTGACTCATGAGCCACAACTCCACGCCTCAAAACAACTGCCGGAACGGCATTGGGCTAAAGTTTCTGTTTTGAGAAGGGAAAGGGTATATTCTATGATGCTTTCTGTAGAGAGATCGTCATAATCTGAAACCTCATACGAAACAGTCTCAATACCCAGATCTCCATCTTATTCCGCTATCATCGGGAATATGAGTCATTGTGCGAATTGATATCCTACTATCTCCTATGTTTCATTCTTTATACATGTACGATAATGATATCGCATTTCAATCTCTCGTGAGCAGATTCTCGTTTCACCATCACTCTTCAAAGTCTAGTTACTATCCCTATGGGTAGAGAGTATCAGTGCGTAAGACTACTCTCACCAATCGAATCGCGCACATGAGGACGCACGCACGCTCGTTCATATGCTATTTCTCACTTGCGTTCATCTCTTCTCAAGCGGCGTTTTTGTTTGACAGACGCCCTTCTGTACTAGGCGTAGTGGGTTGGGGTCCTCCCAGCTGTCAAATCGCACTCGAAACGACGAGTCTGCTTCTTGGAATCTTAGTTATCTTGCTTCTTTTTGCGGAGGAAAAATAATTGGTGAATCGGAATTCATGTTATTCATGTATTTGCTGCACTTGGTGCACCGCGATTGAAATCTCCACTCTCCTGCATTTTCTACGAGTCATTCCTTATTTCTATGGCCTACTCTTCCGCGTGGATCCTTCCGCCGCTTAACTTCCTGCACTGCATATAAGCAAAGGTCTTGTCCCACCCGCACTCATCCATCATTTACGTAATACCTTCAAGTGCAAAGTCTCTTGGAGAATCATAGCTCTTCAAGTCTTCAACCACGTCAGATATTTTCCCAGCGCATCATACAGCCAAAAAAGTGTCACATCACTTCGTTTGAGCTTGAAATTGCAATCCGGTAGTTTGCGAAGAAATATCGATGGTTCATCATGATCTACAACTATAATCATACTCTATTAGTGCACGGTTATAAGATCCTCACATATAGGTCTAGAAGTCTTCCGTCCGACCTGATTAGCTAGCCTCTTCTCCTGCCATCGGTCGCATGGAGACGGATTTGTGCAATACCCTGTTTTTGCAGAATGGTTCTCGACATAAATTTTGTGACTTGCATATTATGACGATCCGCGATTCGATAGGCTAGGATAGGCAACCATGACAAAAGGGGCAGCGGGGAAGTGATTCACATTGCATGCATGCATGATCGATTACAGCACTAGCCGCAGCGGGATATTTCTTCCGGGCCGCGTCGGGGCCTCCGATTTAAGTGCATGATGGGGTTTGATCGTCGCGTGTACGTGGGCCGGCGAAAGGTTTGATTCTCTTCGCTGATTTCGTATCTTGACCCGTAGGAACTGGACTGCCAGGATCCATCTATCGATTTTCCCTCACGGTAATACACTCCATTCCTAATGTTTAAACTTATTCGCAGTCTTCTTTCTTGTCTTATACCCTAATTTTCTGTTGGTGTCGCGGTTGCACGAGACGGGAATTATAGTGCGAGCCTCGGCTCTCGGTTTTCCATGGCGCGCAATGTAGGTACTTCTTTATTGACAATCATTTGCAATAACATGTCAGTGGAGTATCACCACGCTATCTCTTTCGAAATTCGCAAGAGAAAGATAAATAAGCTTTACAAAGACCTCTCTCTCCATTCCCCAACCCACCCTCAGCAATAAAATACCGGTGCATGCACACATGCATGCCAGGAAACCCTGTTTTCTATACTAGTATTCATGCACTGTATGCACAACACGCACTATGCGGATGCGCATGGCTCAGTAGTTCGCGCTCAGAGCCGGCGGGAAGAAGAAAATGGGGGGTTTGCTTGGGTGATGGGGTTTTTGTTTGTTCTTGTTTTCTTTCTTTTATTCGTATTTACCTAGATTGTTGAGACTTGAAGTAGAATTCGCTATCTATCTGGTATTTGTGTGTGTCACGGTCCATCTATCCATCCCATCCCACACAGAATATAAAGTCTAAATTCTAGACCTCATATCATTTCGAGAAAAAGCCCATTCCGTAGGGAAAGAGAATAGTCTGGAAGTCTAGATATTCACTATTTACAAATTTACAATTACAAAGAGAGTGTGTTATTCTAGGTACATGGATGCTATTTGATGGGTACTATTTGATGGATAGAAGGTGGAAGATAGAAGATAGAGGAGGAAAATTAGATCCCGAGATCGATAAAGAGATGCTGAAGGTGTATCAAAAGCAGATTGCAGATCGTATCCTGGAGATGAGGTTCTTGGGTGGGTTTTGGGATGGAATTGTGAAGGTAAGGTTCTTGGGAATGATGATCGGCGTTAAGGTTTCTTTTTTTCTTTTTTCTCTCTCTCTCTCTCTCTCGTTTTTTAAGGTATACGAGGAGGGGTACCCATGCTACTAAGTTTAAATCGCATCCCGGGAATGAGGTTTGTGGAGTAGGTCGAGGGATTGCATATGATGGGATTGGATTGGATAGCATCGATAGTATGGATTTTCGTGGTGAATGGAGATCGAGGTTGGGATTTTGCGGTGATGAGATATTGCTGGCTGGATGGAAGGTTCGTGGCGGGAAGATGATTTTCGGGCTTTGAGGTTGAGGTTTGAGATCTGTGGGGATAGGGATGGGGATGGATGGTCTCTGGGTGGAGGATTTGGAGCGGAATGGCTGGCTGGCTGGCTGGCTGGCTGTGTTCGTTCTGGATTGATGAGAGAGAGGTATCGTGACATTGATGTATGCATCTCGAAAATGGACCGCTTTGGGACTCTTCTACTCGATTATATGTAATGACGTTTATCAGATGAATGATCTCTCTTCGTGTATTCACTGCCGCTGTGGCTACAACATATAACTGGCTCTTGTCCTGAGGCATATAAAGTTCCTGGGAGCTTAGATTCTCTTTCTTCGTGATAAAAAACGCAATCCGATGTTTTGAGGTGTGGACAAAACAGAGATTCGATTTCTCTTCCTTCTCATCAATATGCTTCAATTCTGGATGTTGATTTACATGACTTGAGAACTGTGTCTTTGCTAGCAAGAAGTCTCTTGTATGCATCTTTTTTCTCATTCATGTTGTCGTCTACGAAAGCTTTATTTTCACTGTCGGAATTTTAATTACGTTGCTAAATCTTATGCATCGTTTGACAACAGAAATGTCCTCCTCTCAATGTCAATATCCATCTCTACATCTCCTCGAAAGTTCAAAGAATCGTGTAAACTTCTACATGCGGAAATGCGAGGAGCGACCCGGATTCTGCAATGTCAATAAATACCGCACCCATTCTGCATGGTCATGCATGATTTTCTGCTTTAGATGAGCAGAATGGAAAGGGAAGATGTAGGACTCTTATACTCGGATTATCAACTTCGTGTCGGGACTCACTTCTAGTGGAGAATGGAGCTTCGTCGAAGATTCGTGAGTGAATGGATGAGTATTCATTAAACCTTTTGGTGAATTTTTCAGGCGAGAAAAGGGGAGTTGAGAGTATATAATCATCTATCTCCTTGATACTTTCAATTTTTCATAAAGCAACCCCAAAAAGATGGCATGCTTGATAATGCGGCGGCCACGGAATGGGGGTTTGGTACCGGTGGGCAGTGCATTCTGATTGGGATAGTTCCAGATCTATACAATAAGCTGATGAATGTAATGGCAGATGGCTAGAATTCCTGCTACGGTATATGCTGTGCTTGATGTTCACTTGTGGTTGTTGGATGACTGTTGCTAATGCAATGATTGATATTTGGTAGCTTCTTGTTGCCAGAATTTATCATATTTTGACGACTTTTAACTCGAGAAAGACCCCTCCCTGCTCGAGGCTGCCACACATATCTAGGTGAATACTTGAATTTCTGAGATCATAAACATATATGGAATCATATCCCACACATCCCGGTTGATGATTGCCCTTCGTGCGACAGGAATGGCTTGCGGCCCGTTTTTAAAGAACTGAAATCTTTACTAGGGCGGAGACTTAAATAGGTATCTTATACTTTCTCTTTTACCCGAGAGTTATATAATTGGTATGGAGATAGTGGTGAATGGATGAAGTGTTGATGTAGTTGTGTATGAGGATAGTGAATGGAGATAGATTGGTTAATAGTCTATGTTGATGATTGATTCACTTCGAGAGATTTCCTGTGGTATAATCAGGTAGACGAGCGTGTTCGATGTGTATATAAAGTGCCAGTGGGTCTCTTCTTAAGCACTTCTTCATAGAGCTCAGGAAAGAAATTTTCTGCGGTCTATGGCTAGCACAAAGTTGCAGTTTCCGCAAAGAAAGGTTGATTTGTTAACAGACAATTCAAAGGTCTCGTCATGTTCAAGTTAGATATTTACTTCTGGGACAATCAATGAATACCATCTCTGAAATATTTACCATCGCCACTTTCTCTCTCTATTGTCAATGAGCGTTTTTCAATATACTTCGCAAACTTCCTTCCTCACCATCTCTCAGCCTAAATGAAAGATGATACTGAGAAAAAGCACTCCTAAACACAACGCTTCCCAAGACCATATAATCTTCAAGTTTTCATCACTAATTTAAATTTCTTGAAATCTGCTACAAGCACTATCCACCCGCTAGGAAGCTCGTAATCTTTTTGAGATACACTTGTGTTAAAATGAGTCGAAATTACATTATTTGTTCCAATGCCTATATAGCTACGATCAGAATCAGATCTAGCCTCCCACGACATCAATCTAGGTTGATCAATATCGGCGAATGTGTACCACGAGATATCTTCGTAATCCCCATTGGTTGTTTGTCTGCCCTAAAATATCTTATATTAGAATTGTAATTTGAAGTAACGAAGGGGAGCTGTACATCAGGCATTGCGATAAGCTGGATTTCAACAAGTTATTATTATCGGGTATGCAGTAGTATGATATACTCAGGTTTCAACTGTTGTATTAATTAGTAATAAAACAGAAAATCAGTAGCTAGACACACCTGTTCTGCTAATAAGTCCTATCATGGAATGAGGTCACTTGCGTTGGATTGCCTGGTTCAAGAAGATATGATAAAAAGAGAAATAAAGATTTGAACGAAGACCAATAAATAAGGAAAGTTGGCTCAGAGAATGTTGAAAGACGGACAAAGGCAGGGATTAGGTGGGGTCCATCATGATGCTCAGATGACCAAGAGTTGCCCCGGTTTGGAAGACCAATAATAAGCCTCTGCAGTATCGGTAAAGATCCCATATTAGTTACTGAATTGTGTTCCGGCCATAGTTGGCCAACGAAATCTCACCTGGACATTTTCATTACCCTTTCCCGCGATAGAGCTAGATAACTCCATGTCTCCTGTATAAAGACCCATTCTTCTTGTAATGAAGTTACTGAAAGTCGATTTCAAAACGGGAATTCGCTGAACAGGCTCATGAGACGGATTCGGAAGCAAAAGATGCAGACTTGCTTGTGCATTCGAAACCTCAACACCAGGAGATGGTATTGTAAGGAAACCAATTTCTTTCTAGGATTTTTCATATATCTTCCAGAAGTGAGGTCTAGAGGGTATATGGCTGAGTTAAGCTTTTGACAGTGATGAAAGATTTCGCGACAATTACGCACCTTTGAAGACAACAATATTTAACCAGATAGGTTGAAATATGCCTCTGATATGTGTAAAATGGGTTTAAAAGTTTACCTAGCAGATGATTTCTTCTGTCCGAAAGATGTAACAACCATACCAGGTTTCGCATCCCGCGTTGTGTTCTTTAGAGAACACTACAATACTGCTAGGATAGTCTATATATCTTGAACTTTTCGAACCCAGGTGAGTGATTGACATTATAGGGAGTAAAAATTGAGTTTGAGAGCCTCATGAGATATTTGTCAGAGCAGTTGCGAGATCCTTAGAGTTGGAATTTCTTCTTGAGGTGAGGTCATATAAAGGTTGACCTTTCTGGGAAGTTTTGCTCCATTAAAATTAGATTGGTAACTGGCTACATGCCGGTTGATGGTTTCCTCCAAATTGCCTGATAAATTATCGAGTAATATTTTTGCTCTGCCAAATGTGCAGTGCTCGGTGACAATTAATTTCGGGAGGATGTTGTTTGCGCAAATGAAAAACAGAGTAAACTGATCGAGAGCTGTTCACCACATTTGAAATCGGCATATGTAGAAAGAGGTATATTTGATGCGCGTTTCAGGACCCTTAAACATTAACAAACAAGAATGATTCATTGCTTGATTGCAATTTCAATGACATTAAAATATTGTCAGGCACAATTTTTGTTACTGTTGATCCAGAACACCATATTCAGATCCCATTTCTTCCGAACTTCACCCAAACACGTCACTGATATAGTCGGATAACTGTTTCAAACGAGGACTAGATTTGCATTCCACATTGTTGTCTAATTGAATAGTTGATAAGTATGATCCAGCGGGGGCGGGATACAGCAATGCATGTAATGGTCTATCGTTCAAAATCAGCGGTATCAAGGCGTCTCGATGATGTAGGATTAATACGCCCGGATTTTGATTCCGGTATATGTCAGAAAGATCCGAATTTTCACCTGTTGTCAGAATTTTAAGGTCTTGGCTAACCGGAATAGCCCAGCTATGGAGTGTGAGAAGAACATCAGCGCCTTGCTCTTGTTCTGACTTGCGATTTGATAAGCCGTCGAGAACGTCGTCAGAGGTATCCATGATAGAGTCATCATCTTTGCCTAGTTCGTTGTCAATGTCCTTAACTTTCACCGTGCGCAAAACAGCATATGCCGCAGTCCAATGGTCTGCGGCGTTGTATATAATTTCGGATCTACCCCAAACGACTTTTGCAATGGAATCTCCGTCTCGAACATCTGCATTGACAAGAAACTCTTTCATGGCTGGAAAAATTTCCGCCTGTAGATTCGGCCACATGATGGTAACTCTTGATGTCTTAAGATTGGCAGGCAAGAGTTCATTGATATGCTCCTTAGACCATTTCTCATTTTCCTGCCGCCACGTATTTATATGTTCGAGCAATGTTAAAGGCGCGTACTCCTCAGCTTGAATGTTAAGATTGGCGTGAAGTTCATTCTGTTGAGGGATTTGGCACAATTCCTTAATATCAAGTCTGATATGAGGGTCGATTGCTTTAAGCCAGGGATTAGTCAAATCTGAGGTCGAAGAAGGTAGCCAGTCTGATGGTGAAGGTGGAATTGATCTCAAGTATTCATCCATTTCCAGATTATGCTCGTTGATGTCTAGCCATTCCCTGATCAAATCAAGGACCTGATGCTTCTGTCCAATTTCTAAATCTTCATATGTACTATACACTAATCTTGCAACGGCGTGAAACAGATGAAATGTAGGTTGTTCGTAGTCAATTATTAGATTTTGTCGGATGAGATCCTCCTTTGGGAGCAGAGAGAGAAGTGCGTATATCTTATCCCTGGGGTTGGTAGCCTTTGCTGTGTTATACCGGAAAACTAAATCCACGAATGTACCAGATTTTGAGTTTGAGCGATGATTGCACAGTTGTAGGGTAGTAGAATTCATCTCGGCTTCCTGAATGGAATACTCCCGTATTTGACCCCAGCGGTAAAAACTGCTTGAAGCATCTCCGGAATTCTCCAAAACATCGGACATACCAAAATCGGCGCTCTCTTCTAAGTTTTGCCCCGAAAATCTTTGCTCAATACTCATTAACGTGTTAAAATCTTCCCACGAGACGCTTTTCAATCCGTAGAAAAGCGTGATATCGCGCGCAAGAATAATTTCCTGTTTGATCCATACTCTATCAAAATATGATATTTGATCAAACCTTCCTCGAAGTTTCTCCCTGGCGATCCTAACCTCTTCGCCGCCATCGCTTGCTGAGGTGGGCTGTATGGCACCGATCGTGTCACCAGTACCAATACAACTGGCGACCCACAATGCTGATTCGTATATCAAACCCATGATAGCCACCTGAAAGTTCTTCTCTTCATTATTATCTTGATTGATACACAATGAATCGATCCACAAATAATCGGTGACGCCATGGTGTCTCATCTGCCACAGAGCATACCAGCAATTAAATCGCACTCGCATCCTTTTACCATTTACAATTATCGGCATGAGTGGGACAAAATCTCCCCAAGTGTACGAAATGGCAATGTATCGTGGCTGATACACATCATCGCAAAAGTTGTGAACCGTCAAGCTGAAGCAATAGTCATCGCCATCAGGTGATGATTGCTCCAGCCGAAGCAATCTGATTTGCTTATCGGGGTGCAGGAGCGGACGATCTGCGTAAGGCGACGACATGATAAATGATGAAGAAGTATAACGAGAGGACTAGAAAAGGAATCATTGATTTGGGTTACATGAAAAGCTGATGCACTTTTGTGCCACGCCTCTCAGCCTCTTTCATATGTGGGTCTTGATAGCTTTTGGGCGATTTCTCAGATTTCCCAAGGAAGTCTTTGAATCTATCGTATGGCAGAGGGATCTGATTGCTTCTGCGTGTAAACCATGGTAAGATCATAAAGTTATTTGCTTTCCAAGCTTCTTAGTTTAAACACATCTTGTAAAGTCCAAAAGTACTAGAATGACTGGGGCCCTAAAGTGACAAGCTGTAGACCCGTTCCGCGTGGGTATGCCGGTGTTATGTATAAAAACCAACCTTAGCGGTAGCTAGACGGATTCCATTCTGTCTTTCAATAATGGGTATATCGTGCGATATCTTGAAATTGAACTGTTGTAAGTTGGATCGCATGAGCTTGAACAAAGTATTAAGTAAAGTAAATGGTGGAAATAACGTGCCCTTGCACACCGAAATTAATCTTACCGCCTGCCAAACGCGTCGCGTCTAACACCCAAATTCAGCACTTCAAAAACAATGCACCTCTACGAGTATTGCTCAACCAGACCCTGAATATAAATTGAAAAAACGTTGTCAAATATAACAAAAGATTGAACAACGCGAAGTAATTTTAATTTTCCTGCAAATGCACGATAGTCTTGCCTGCCAGCTGCCCAATTCCTAGCCTAAAAACAGTCGTTATAGAGCATTCATGGACTGGGTCTTTCAGAGTTTGGAATCAGATCAGAGGAGCTGCCAGTCTTCTGCCAGCTTCCCAAAAGCCCCGTCAGTATCAATTCACGAATTCAGTGCTACAATCGGCTTGATCCAAACATTGCCAACCAATTTAGGACGAGATGATCGTCCAACACGGCTGTGTAACTTACATTACATAGTGGGAGCTGTTACCGGCATACAATCCGAGCAATTCAAGGAAAGAAATCTTCTGAAACCAAGGTCTGGGTACCAAGAATTTACAAAGAATTAGAGCTCGGAGAATCATTCAAACCTTTCATTCACCGGTCATAGCTATGTCGATTTCACATGAGCAGCTCATTATTGGGTTTTGAGATCCTTAATCATCGCTCAAGGCCTTGAACGCGGTGGAGTAACGCTGTAGCTATTTGTGATGCGTTGCAGAGGTATGAGGAACAAGTGTTGTCATAAATTCGAGATTTTATGCCCAGAGGACGCGAAAGCGTGGAGACTGTATTAGCTGAGCAATCAGCTCTCAAACTGTTCTCCGCAAGTTGCGAAAAGATCAGTCTGCAGTCCAGTGCTCCTTTTACCACATAAGATTTGACTATCCAAGCCTGATTGAAGCGGCCTAGACCTACAAGCTTGTTGTGGATAGTATTTCCGATGACATGTTGAACGCGGATATCATCACCATGGCTCACACTCTACCCTCTAAACCACAATTCCAACCCCGTTTACAGTCGAAACCCGAACCACAAGGGAAAAGCCCCTTGTTTCCTCGCTCATGCCACCGATCCCATGGTGAATTAGCAGGATTTGTACGGAAGCTCGACGCAAATAAAACTTCCGAGCGGACTGATAAACAATGACCTCACACCAGACCCTCTTGCCACTGTACCAAAAAAACTCAGGCTTTAGCGTCACCCAGAATGATTTTATATGGTCAGAATAACTGTGCCTGCTCCATGATAAGCTAGTTGCGAAACCAGATGAATGATTATCTTTTCTTGAACCTCGTGGTCGATGGTTTATTGTCTATGTCAAGTTGAAACAAAAATTGCTGATTGTCTATAGGGAATTGAAACAATTAGGTTGTCTATTTTCAATCTAAATCATGAGGGCCGATTATTTACTTGAAATTTCAACAATCAGGACTGATGGCCTTCTTCGAATCTAAACAATTCAGGCTAGTTGTCTACTTGGAATCGAAATAATGAAAGCTTATTATTTGTATCGAACCAGGGCATTGAGTGCTTCGCTTGTTTCAATACTCCCTCTATCAACCCACCAAATAGTTGAGCAAACACCCACAATTCGATCCAGGAAGTCACGACTTCTCCGAAAGCTTGAATTCGTCATCGCTACAAGTCGAAAAGATTTGTATAAAAAATACGTGTTCTCTATGTTTATTTGCAAGAATTTGAGTGATACAACATATTAGCATTTTGAATACATGTTGTTACCCAAAAGACACCTGGGCTAGAAAGAAGACCATGTAGAGGGTACCTAGTGATGCCTAAATATTTCTAGGGTATAGCGGAATACATTACGTGAAGCGCGTTTGCAGTCTCAGTAAACTCAGGCACCTGAAACATATTCACGTACAGAAATCATGTGGGAAATGTGAAATGAAGATAATGGTTTGGTTTTCATTCTCCAAAAAAAAAGCGATAGTCGCAAAGCATATACTATAATAAATGTTGAACCCTAAGAATATCCGTCATCCAAGATTCCCTGCGCACGCTGGCGACTTAGTCCTATAATACTGAGATCCCAAACTCCTTACTCATACCGCATCAAACTCCAAATAACACCCCGCCTAGATCGTTACCATACCCATATCTTCATTCCGCGTCAAAAAAATCGTATCTCATCAACTCCAGAAAACCGCACCCTTTTCCTTGTACAATATGGATCTCATTGTCTCGAAAACTCTTCCCTTTGAGCCCTATTCGACCCCCCAAATGCATAACCTCTCCTTTCTTTTTCATTCAAGCCATCGTTCCTCGTTCTTTGCCCAGATACAGTCTCCGTCCTCGCAGGTCTGTACGATGTGGGTACCGCTTTGATGAATCCGTCGGGCCTTTCGTAAACTTTGTTCTTCTGATCATAATAGTTGACATAAATCAATTGTTCGTTGCTCCATGTCTCTGTCCAGGATTTCTGCATGTGTTCTACCAGAAAATTGAAATCGCTTTTAGAAACAATTTGTTGATCTGATCTGACTTTTGGTTCTTGTTTCGGTGATGTAGCGGGAATTGGAATATGAGTTGAAGGAGGCGGTGTGATGATTAGACGTTGTGAAAGTCTGATTATTATGTTGGAAGCATCTTCTTCAATGAGTTTCCAGTGCTGAAGAAGAGTACCGAAGCCAGGGAGTTGTCTAGAACCGGAGGTTTGTGTGGTCTTATTGGCTATCTCATACAATTTTCTTTTGATATCAGATGATACTGCCCGGAGACATTTGTTCATTGGTTGAATGGATGCTTCATCGCCGACAGCCATCCGGTGCCCGAAACATCGTTTTAAAGTATCATATTGAACTGAGAGGTTGGTGTGTGAGTGGAGGAGGGTGTCTTGAAGCTTGTCGAAATTCTCGTGCTTAGTACCTAGTCGTCGAGTTTCTCGGATCTGATGGCAAAATCCAATACAGTCTGACAACTCATTCAGAAGAGTATCGACTTGTGTTTGGAAGGCAACTCCAGTTGGAGACATAGTTGCGGTTGTGGAAGTGTTTGATGAGTGATAGTAGTGGTAGATAATAATGAGACTAATTCAATGACTGGATAGACGAACTAATATGCAGCCCTACTGTGGTCTGTGTCGAATGAAACGAGACCCTTTGTATAATCTGAAATGCTTGAAGAAATAAGAAGAAAGGATGTGATCAATGGATGGAATCCGTCTTGGTTTTAAAGTCGGATTGGATCGCACAATCTAAAACTCGGAGGCCTTTCACCACATCAATCATCAAGGGAAATGTGAGTCCAAGCCTCAGCCACACATGATAACATCCGCATTGTGAATAAATCAGGGGATGCAATTGCGGGTATCCACCACTGGCTCGCCGATGACTTTTAACTGACTCAGATCCTGTCCAATAGTCATGAAGCAATAGTGCTGGAAACAATCAGTAGCGATGATTGCCTAGAACCTAGAGGACAGATTATGGTGTGCATTGTGACTAGTACGTCTACGTGATTCCATTTCCTAGGGGTAGATGTGTACAAAATGAGGGGAAATTAAGGCGTAGAGTCATTGCGATAACCAAGCATTACTCAACACTCAGATTTTCGCAAACTTACATTGGTTGGTTCATCGAAACGAAGAGGCAGATGTCAAAAAAAAATGCAAGCACGGCACGTCGCATAGAGCCAAAATTCGGCGCAAGGCAGATTTCGTAAATCACAACAAGTGCAAGCTTTCGAAGTTGTGGAAGTAAGCAGCGGGGCTGTGATTTATTGGACGAGCCACAATCCTTCGGGAGAACGAAATTGATTGGTTGAATGGAGGAAAAAATCATGTGATCTCAAAGCTACGCCTCGTTTTGAGGCTCAACATCTTGAACACTCATGGACTAATTAGCTGAGCAGAAGAAGATTCCAATCTCCGATTACATCATTGAGCCTCAATTTTTACTCCGAGTCTACTTCTTATCTCGTGCGTATGAACTGATGGAGAATGCGGTGGCTGTAGGCTATGCAGTATTTTATCCCGAATATCTGTTGTGATGAAAGTGCTCGTCTCGGTGAAGGGGTTCGCGTCCAACTATGATTAAGGGAGTTTTCCGGACCACTCAATGATTCCACATCATGGATCTTGGCACACCTCTGTGTTTTTATGTCCGGTATCTTTAAGACTTCGGAGCCGAGATTTTGGGCATGAGAGTTTCTATGCTACCACGTGACAAAAACATCTACACGTGGGTGGATCTGTCAAAACGTATGCGAATATGGAATCATATGTTTCGTGCTCTAAAGTGTGGTCCGAACCATGTTTGTTTCCATGACAATCTCAGTCCTACAGCTGATACTCAATATGATGATTGAACGAAGTCACGTGGATATGGACAATTCCTTCCCTATCACAAACTTTCGCGTTATGGACGTGTTTGCTTTAACAAACTCAATCAACGAAATATGAAACCGTTCTCACTTCCTCACCGGATAAAAACAAAATGCCTTCATCACCAGGTGGAGAGCTAACACGGACCGGCCCACAGTAGTGATCCCGACTTGGCATAGTCTCCACAGATAGATTACTGGACAGCGATCTTCCCAATAGCCACAGCTGTCGCTGATGTACTTCATCGGGTATAATTGGAGGTGTGTTAAACTCTGAAAAGGACTATTGGGACCAATCTGCATCGCAGCCCTCGCAGACTGAGATGATTTGGACAATAATAAGTTTCAACGCAGAATTCAGGAGAAATTTGATTAAAGAGAGGAATGAGGGGCGAGACTTTCAGAAACAGTACCCGCATTATGAGCTTAATTATTTTGATACCTGTCCACAGTATCGTCGTAAGCATATGCGAATTTGTCGGACTTGCAGCTTAAAATAAATTTGATTAGTATCTCAAAAGCTGCACACTCTCTAAGAGCATTATGTTTTTTACTTTTCTCGGAAACACTTGAAAATGGCGAGGTACAAGGGCGTCTCTGTCCTCTTTCTGCTGTATATCGTGCTGATATTCTATTTATGGACAAAAACACCAGATTTAAAAACGCAAAGACTTGAAGCTGCTCAGGATGGCGACTTCGACGTATCACAACCATTCCTTCCACCTCCGGCCGTGAGAGCTCGACCACCAGGGCCGATTCACAAACAACTTTTGAATGTCGAGAGCTCGCATGCTTCACGCCAAGTTGTCGATACCTTTCAGTACAAAACCCTTCCAGACATACCATCCTGGAACAGACCTCCCAAAGAGCATGTTCCGGAGAAAACTCCCCTCTTCATAGGTTTCACTCGAAACTGGCCTTTACTACAACAATGCGTTTTATCGTATATTACTGCAGGGTGGCCCGCAGAGGACATATATGTTGTGGATAATACTGGCACAATGAGATCTAATTTTGCTTCTAAGCCAAAGATCACACTTCAGAACCCTTCGTATCTGAATGTCAATCGACTCAGAAACGTCTTTGGGGTTAATGTAATTTCGACGCCAACCCTTCTTACCTTTTCCCAACTTCAGAATTTCTATATTTACACGGCACTTGAAAATGAATGGGAGAATTATTTCTGGAGTCATATGGATGTGATCGTATTGTCCGACGAGGACTTGACCCACGCACCGCTAAATCAACAACGTAATCCTGCAACATCTCACAAGTCTCTATATATGCGAGCTGTCGATGAACTTCGGAGAACCTTTGATCCTGATTACGCGGAAGGATACGATGGATGGGGAATTCGTTTCTTCGAGTACGATTGGCTTGCGCTAAATAACGTGCAAAGCTTTGTAAAAATGGGAGGATGGGATCCAATGATCAGCTATTACTCCTCTGATTGCGACATGTATCAGAGGCTTCAGATGGCAGGTGTCTTCCTAGATACGGCCGAGGCGGGCTGGATTATGGATGTGGGAAGAACAATTGATCTAAATTTGCTCTTTCGTCGAAAATACAACCCAGATATGCCCCCTAAAACGGCAGCTGACATGAATAAATTGGCGGAAGACAAGATGGGAGGAGAAGGCTTTCAAAATCTGATAAAGTTGTTTCAAGCCGAAGCGGAATGGAAAAACAGTGACCCAAGCATCAGAAATCATTGGCAACGAAGGCAGTTAGGAGGTCAAGGAGAGCCATTTCATCGCGATCCGCGGGGCTTCGAACAAGCACTTGAGATATTGATCCGGAGTGCGGATGAGATATATTCAGAAAAATGGGGGCACATAGGTTGCGATCTTAAAGAATCTGGATTGCAATTAGAAGATGCTTGGATGGTTGAACATGATTGGGAGTAACAATACGGTTGAAAAACATTCACTTCGCTATCAATTATTCACCTGATGGTATCTACAGTAGTGTCATTTGTTTTGGTATCGGAGTTCATTATATGGTGAATGAGATATGGGATATATAACTATCCATCTTTTCATTATTTTTTTCCCCTTCAAATATTTCAAAATCAGTTGTGTGATTAGCAGTTTTCTCTGGAGATTTGATTCTATCACCATACCCTACGTCTGCATTTCCATTGCCCACTACCCAAGAAACATTTCAAGTCGAATCTCAAAGCCTGATACAACATCTAAGCCGAAGGCTTTTGATACAGGCCACTCTCGGCACTACATTCCGATCCTCATCCCCCATGGACTCCCGTTCTTCTAGCCCGACCTCGGGCATCACATTTAACAATGTGCAAATTCGTGATTCTATTTGCGATCCCTATCTCGATGCACTCGTGGAATGTTATAAAAACGGCAACAATTCCAGGCTAGATGAAAGCCACGCAAATAGTGTTGGAAATGTTGGTACAGAGAATTGTGATCCCCCAGATCATGACTTTATCCATGAAGATATTGTTTCCGACAACTTTGTTACAACCAACCAACCCTCAACTATATCCTCCACCTACATGTACGAGCAAGAACCTTTTGACACATACCGCACTAAAGTCAATCAGTTGTGTATTGATATAGGCTTTGGCGAACCATCAACTATAGAGCATGTGGATGGAGGAAATTACAATCGGGTGATTGGCTTGTCGTTCAAAATTGACTCTGAGATTCAGCGACGTATTCTACGGATCCCGCGAAAATGGGATGCATGGTCGAAACAGACTGATATCCAAAACCAGGCCGAAATTATTATGTGGCTTCAACGATTTGCATTCCTTCGCGTACCTAAGGTTTTAGCCATAGATACGACCGCTGAAAATTCTCTCAAACCACCATTTGTGCTACAAGAGAGGGTTTAAGGAATCCCTCTGGACGATTTGTTCTTCGAGATTCCCGCTCAGCTTCCCATGTCTAAGAGACTTGAAGTTGTGAAAGCTGTTGCTAAGTTCATCATAAAATTAGAGAGAACCGCTCTAGATAAGCCGGGAAAACTGGTTGGAACCCATACTGTACCGTGGACTTCAACTTTCATGGCCTCTTCAACACCGCGAATCGAATTCGATAGCTTTGCTCCGAATTACACGGAGACCGCACCTCCTTTTGAGGAAGACTTACCGTCATCACTCTTCCATCTGATGACAGCCCACCATGATTTCAGAACAGAAGCAAATGCGAACTGGGATATGTTGCTAGTTATTTTGCGGCAGATGGATGAGAGACAATTTTTCAAATCATCTGATTCAACAAACGTGCTATGGCATTGGGATCTCCAACCTCGACACATTTTCGTCGAAAAGTCCGAATCTGGTCAATGGGAAGTTAGCGGAGTCATTGATTGGGATGATGTAACGTCCATGCCATTAGTTCTGACTAGAGCTCCCAGGTACTGGCTCTGGTTCTACGAGGAGTGTTTCGAATACGCTAGTTACTTTTCACATCCGTGGGACGGTGACTATGACGCGCCTGTAGATCTGCCCCACAATAAGGATGTAACAATTGTTAAAGAGTATTTCGACCGGATAATGCAGGAGGCGGACCCGACGTATATGGACGATACATACGGAAGAGGTCATTGGATCCGTCGACTCATTGAACTCGCAAGGTTTGGATTAGATAACCCCGGGATATTGAAAGACTTGATCAGTTTATCAATGATTGGGACGATTACACTGGGGCATTGGGTTCGATTTATGGGGAATATATGTATCACATATTGCTTGATGATGGTACGCATCTTTAGATAGAATTTATCACTTCTCCTGCTTCTCTCAGGAATCTGTCTCTCTCAAATAGAAATCCAGTTCGGTATAAACATATGCAAGGTGAATGGCAAAATCTATCAATTGCTAAAAATTACACTATTCCCTCAGATCGGTGAGTCTATATCTATATTGGTTCTAGTAGAACAATCTCCTTACAAATCGAATGTTTGTCCTACGAGCTTCTCACTCAGCGCCCATAGACGCTCTGCGTACTCAGGATTGGTAGTATAATCTGCCGTTTCAGCAATTTGACAATCGGCAAGGTAGGCACCCGAGTGGTCTGTATAAGTTTTATGTGTTAGCATTGAGAAAGTGTGGGTTGTTATTTGGAGAATAGGGATGTGTTTACCTTTCAAAGCTGGGTCAAGAGCCGCAACTAATGTTGTTGATGTGCCTGCTTCTAAGGTCTTCCAAGCGAATGAGCCATCCGTCTTTATGTATCCTTGATTGTTTCGTCAGTAAAACTTGGACTATTCTTGAATGATGGAATTCGGAGTCCGAATTACCTCTGGAATTGAAACGTTCGGTCATAGTGCCATAATCTTTCTCCGGATCCATCTCTCTTACCAAATTCGTGATGATAACGCCAGGGTGAACAGCAAATGCATGTACTCCTTTGCTTCTCAATCTCTTTGCCAACTCAACGGTAAATAGAATATTTGCCGATTTACTTTGGCCATACCCTGACCATTTGTCATAGTCTTTCCCGTCATTGAAATTATAGTCATCGAATCTAACTTCGCCCAATGACCATCCCATACTGGAAAGATTGACGATTCGTGCTCCTTCAGATGCAGCAGCAATAATAGCTGGCATAAGAAGGTTTGTTAGAAGGAAATGCCCCACGTGGTTTGCACCAAATTGAACCTCCAGACCTTCGGCGGTAGTGTTGTATTCGGCTGGGGCCATGACACCCGCATTATTGATCAGAGTGTGGATCTTGGGAGTGGTGGCCAGAATAGATTCAGCTGCAGCTTTGATAGATGAATACTTTCCGAGATCACAATTAACAAATTTAACGGTTGTGCTTGGAGAAGCCGCTTTCACTGATTCTACGGTAGGTGCGGCTTTAGATTCGTCGCGTCCGAGGAGGAGAATAGTTGCTGGCTTAGATGCAGCAAGTAGCAAAGCTGTTTGAGCTCCCAGTCCGCCTGGTGTTGGGCCGGTAATAACAACTAAGAATGTCAGAGCAAGTTCATGTGTAAGGGAGAACAGGATAAACTCACATGTCTTGTCAGCGACAGACTTTGGGAATAAAGTGACGACTTCAGCGCCATTGGTCTCTTGGTTGAATTGCTTTTGGCTGGCCATTTTGCTGTTTGTATTGGATCGAGATAGAGAACTATCGAAAGATGTATTGGTGGGTAGATTGTAATGTTGATGTTGATGATGTGTTGATGGGTAGAAACTTTCTGGTGATCGAGAAATGCAGTCTTTATATACATAGTTTCATTGCTCTTGACCTCTATCACATTCCCTTCTCAATCCAAAACTTTGTGGGCCCTAATCCATCGGCGAAGGGTATTCAGTTCTCCATCCACAGCATTTGCTTGACATCATCGATGTCACTGCCAAATTTTTGCATTGATGGACTGTATCAATTGAATACAGTCCGAAATGCTTACCAATGTCCAAGTGAAGAGACCTACAATTCGGCCGAAAACTCAAATTTCAGTACCCACAGATTAACAGTAATTCCGACAGAGAATTTTAACAAACGGATTAATGAGCCAGAAGTTTGCTTGATGACGGAGTTATTAGATTTCTAACGGATTTATGCAATGCGGTTATTGCGTCCGCAAGCGGCCGTTAGACCGCGTCGGATGTAAATTCAGTTTTTGATCTCCAAATCCGAAGTTCACATACCTCCATCGTTGAGGACATGATTGATAAAATTTCCGGTTTGCTTTACACCTGTCTTGCGATATTATGCAGCCCGAAATGGACTTTAGGAGTTCATGTACTTAATTACCTCCATTTTGGAGTACCAATTTTTACTCTTGGCGATGTCAATGCTCTGCCAAACGGGTTTATGAATTCAAGTCGAATTCCGAGATGTTGAGAAATTGTCAAGGTCTCCTCTTCTTTGCTTGGAAAGTGAGATGGTGTAGTAGAATTCTCTAAGTTCTTGGCTCTTTGGCATTTTAATAAAAAAACCTCCCCCGCTTTAAAATATAGCATCCACCGCGGGTTTCTCAACTCCTTCAAAATGGCGTTTGCACTCCGACTAATATACTCCCAATTTATCGTCAAGGTGCCTAAGCCAACCACTTCTTTCCAAGGCAAGACCATCATAATCACCGGTGGAAATACAGGTCTAGGCTTCGAAGCAGCGAAGTACTACCCCAAACTCAAAGCATCCCGGGTAATTCTTGCTTGTCGCTCCCTCGAAAAAGCAGATAAAGCCAAGCTCGAGCTGGAACAGACTTTCGCTATCAGTGGAGATATCGTAGAAACATGGCAGCTTGATTTGTCTTCCTACGCATCTGTCATTGAGTTTTGTGAGAAGGCAAAGACTCTGCCGCGTTTGGATGTCATGCTCCTGAATGCGGGTATTTTGACCAAAGAATATCGCGTTGCGGAGGACAATGAGTCGACTATCACGGTTAATGTTATTTCGACTTTCTTAATGGCATTTTTATTGATGCCGAAATTAAAAGAGACGGCAAAGTACTTTGGGACAACGCCACATATGACGGTAGTATCCTCCGATCTGCACTTCCTTAGTGATTTCGCGGAATGGAAAAGTGATGATATATTCGAATCTTTAAATGATAAGGGAACAGCTCGTATGAATGATAGGTACATGGACTGTCTCCTTTACGAATGCCACTTGGCTAAATATTATACAGGTACAACTTGTCAAAGCTCATGGAGATCCTCATCGTTCGTCATTTCGTATCTCTACATGGCACAGATTACCCTGTTGTCTTCAACACCGTGCATCCAGGTTGGTGTCAACCCAATCTTGCAAATGAAATCGCCACAATTTTTTTAAAGAAGGTGGAAAATTGTATGGGAAGAACAACTGAAGAAGGTGCGAGAAGTTTGGTATTTGCAACTTCATTTGGCAAAGAATCTCATGGAAAATATGTTGGTAATGGGGGACTTTTATCGTGAGTTTATCACCTTCAAGAGATTGGCATGTATAAAATAAGCTCTTACAATATAATACAGGGAATCGAGTTTTGTAACAAGCAAAGACGGTGCTGCAGCTGGTGAGAAACTGTGGACTCAGTTGTCCATCAAATTGGAGAAGATTCGCCCAAACGTTAGGCAAGGATGCTAGGGCGTCTTTCCATCTTCTCTCTAGGTCTTCTGCTATATTTATGATTCCTATTTAAAATGCTTTCCATTGTATACCTATCATACAGACATTGGTATCAAAATTTGTAATTTAACACTGCTGTCGTTACTTTAACCTCGCCTAACCTTGGAACACTCCGACCAACAAAGGTAGCTTACTTGCCATAGTTGGCTGGTGGCTGAAACTCCACACGTGAGCAAATTCTCAACACCAACATTTTATTTTCCAATTCCTTCCTACCAACATCAACAACATCAAGCCTTCACCCTTAAACATTCACAACAATTGTAATGTCTTGAATATTATCTCATGATTAGGATTTGAATCAAGAATTCTTTGTGATTCTGCAGAGCGCACAAGGTATCGATGCAAGGCTACGACATTCCAAAGCTGGAAGATTCTAGGGTCGCGGTCGCGGTTGGTCGATTTGGCCGTGGTCATTGGAGTGGGGATTGGGTCAGCAGTGAGGAAGGCGAATTTAGGCACGAATTGAGAGACCACCGGAGACACCGATTTGATTCAGGTGAGTCAGTAAAGATGTATCTTCGGATTCTGTTCTCGATGGACTGTGCGTCGGGAAAGTTACCCGTGCGATGGTTTCTTTGATGATGTTGAGATGTTTCTATAGTATAGTAACTATAGGGTCCATGACTTGACTGAATGGAGTTCTATTTAGAATCATCTGAAAGGAAGCAATTGGAACTTTTTAATGTAGACAATGAGGCAAGAATTGCTTTTCGGTCTCAGTGCACCTCATACTCCTGGGCCGTCGCCGTCTCTGGAATTGCTTCAATATTTCTTTATACTCTCGCGATGGCGTGTAGAGTCGAATGAAGTGGGATGACTTTATATAATTATTTGGCATTCCTCACTAAGAAAAGTCATTCCGATCGATATCTCTGGCAGGTTAGCATTTTATATCTTGTCCCAGACTCTTTTGTCTTTCCAATATGCCAACAATTTTATATATATCCATTCAAGATGAGCACTAGATATGGACCTGCTTTACAGATACACAAAGTTGGCGTGGGATATATTCTGTGGCTCCCACCTTTAAATGCCACTAATGGAGATTCACGACCCCTTTGTCAACGTCACACTGGTATGCGACACTTAATGAATATCAACGTGTTTGATCACCCAGCGGTTGTTCTAAACATTCACAATCGATATGACCCAGATCCTTCCATTCGTTTCATTGCAGTAAGTTTTTCAGGCAAGATAACACTGGTTGTTAATGAAGATCTCTTAGTTGAGTTTGTATCGTGGTAATCGCCGCTCTCAATGCGGACCACGCTATTGTCTTGAGAATGGTCAAGATCTCGAGGCTACAAGTAATTTCCATACTTGCCATAGATTTGTGCTCAGCTTGTCAAGATTTGATCGACACCAGTGGGGGCGAGCAAGATCATGTGATTACAGACTAAACAGCGAATCATACACAAGCCTGATGGCAAGACTACGTCTTGACCCTGAATTCTATCATTCTACCTCGGACATCTTGAATGGGTTCTTGCAAGCACCTCCGGCAGTTGCGCAGCCATTTGCCCAACAACTGCAAATCTTGAATTCATGTTCTCAAGGTAAGCAAGATAATGATTGCATTTAAGTATATAATTTAATGGAACACAGACCATAATTCGTTTGCTGCGCTCGAGAGAGATGACCCGGAAGGCGAAAATGAATTTCTAGAGAACTAAGTAGGTCTATAATTGACGGTTTGGAAGCAGTCCTGTGGAATATTGCATACATGGCTCAGGTGTTATTCTAAATCTTTGCTGCAGGCAGTAAAGTCTGTTACACCCAAGAATGATCATCGTTATCTTCAAATTCCAATCTAATCCTCCTCGTGATAATATTCATGTGAAATTCCACATCTTCGGCGTGATCTTGGAATATCTTGAACCCCTGGAAAACGCCAAGGTCCAACGTGAGGTTAAAGACGAGGTTTGTGTTGTTGCAGGACTGCTATTGCATTTAGCTACCAGGCTCAACTATAAATAGGGGTTATTATCTTGCCAAAATCGTAAACTGGTATTATGAGAAGTGTTTTGTAATTTTTTGTAGTCTTCGAGAAGATTCGTAGATCGGTTCACGATGAGCACATCAGTCGACACATTCAATACAATGGATCGTTCCGGTAGCTTGATTGCAAAGTGCTCAACAACTTGTTGTGATAGTGATATCTCGTTTCATGAAGATCATAGCTACTGGATATGGGTCGAACTATACGAAATAGTCACTTGTCTGTTCCATTTAGTTGTGGATTTTTGCGATCAGGTATCTCGAAGCTCCCCGGTGGTTGTTTCGTGTTTCAAGCACTCGGTAAAGGAGAATTAAACCATGTTAAGTGGGTTGTAAATACTTCAAGGCTCCGCGTCAAAATTATTGTACACAATTCGAACATCTCCAGCGGATTGAACCTTCAACTGCGTCGATCACCTATCATTCATTTCATTTCCCTTTCGCGTTTCCGACACACCCACTTGTCCTTACTGAAAACTTACCTTCTCCATATTTTCACGCCAAATCTTACCTTGTCATGGTATCAGAGATCACAAGAAAGAAGAATAAGCTTGGGGCAGGCTGCATTGTAAAATTACGCAGAAAGAAAGCCAAAAACGTTTGTGAAGGAATTTGTTCGGAGAATCGTTGCCCGAATTTCTATACTGCGTGTCTAAATGGGTGTGGTAATACCGCAAAAAATTGCAAGTTGGAGAAAGGTTCTTATGGACATCCAGCTCTGGGTTTGGGTGTAAGAGAGAGGTACAACGTGACTTATGTTACCTTTGTAATTGTGAGATCAAGGCTTCCTCAAATCTCATTGAACTTCTGTAGACTAACCTGGATCAAAGATTTCAGCACCTTTCAGGAATTCCTGAACAAACGCGGAGATCCTGGAGCACTCATCCCTTGCGCCTTTGGCCCGAAATGTCGCTGGCGACCCGAAGAAAATAGTTATGGATTAAAATATGACGTTGAGCGCAGTGGGATAAATTTTATCAAGCGTTGTTACCTCCAGCTTCAGCACAGATACGCTCTCAAAATTGACTCTTTCGTAACATTCAGGCCTAAGAATCATCCTGGCACTAAGCATGCTTATGGTTTGAGATTCACCGAAGATTCTTATAGCAAGATCACGAAGAGAGTTGGACTGGAGAAAGAAAGGTTTGTTCGGACTGACGATCTAAAAAGAGGAAGAGGTGGTGCTACAGGAACTACAAAACCTCTTGATACAGGGTCATTGCCTTCCGTCGATATTGACAAGCGTCCCTATTGCACTTGAGGAATCATATTCCGCACCAGCTCAAAGACGCCAGTCTCCCAGAGAATAGTTCTAGCTTTTATTTCTCATCAGTATCCACTCCCGACCGGACGACAGCACTTGTTCCGATAAACCTGAACTTCTTGAGATACAAGAGCCATATTGAGATCTGATAGGTCCATCAAGCGATTGGATATTTGAGCCTAAAAATTGGTCATATTACCGTGCCAATACTCATTTTCTCTTTGTGAAAAATCGTCAGTCTGGGATAACGTTACTACATATGCTTATATTAGTCCAATAACAATATATAATTAGTTTCACTCTACCGCCTTTTTCTTCGGAAAAAAAAAGTCCAACAGTCAAAATTTTGACAGTCTACGTGAAAATCGTATCAGAAAAATCGCGGGTGAAGAATCTCACGGTGAAATTCCTTACCGGGATCATGATTTTGATCAACACTGAAAGCTGTCAGTGAGTTAGCTCCATCATCAAAGAAATTGGAGTAAGTTTGTTTAAAACGGTTACTGGCTTGAGACTTCGATTAAATTGCCGCTGGCTCCACTTTTTTTAACTTGACTGAAATATCATTCAAACAAATTTTTAATACATGGTTAGAAAGTTTTAGTGAAGAGCTTTTGCTCGAACGTTTCGAAATTGTACAACAAGAACTGAATAATCATTGATTTGATATTTCTGATCGGCAATGGAAACTCTGTCACTTTTGACTTTGAAATCAGAAATCGAGCTTACATGGCTGTTGATAGTACTGTCCAAACGTCCCACCAAGTCTTTCTTCCGTCCGCATTACTGATGTTTCATGTCTTTTTCGATAGCCTCAAGGTCGGCCTATGGAAGAATATTGCCGTTCAAAATAGCGAAGTTGACAGGCACCATTTGAGAAAGCTAGGAAGTTTCTTCCGAAGTTAATCTGGGTTGAAAATAACGTCTCTTTATTGATCAGAATATTTTGCCTCTCGTCATTTTTTGGACATTCAGGTCTACTGGCCTTGCGCTCAGCCTTATTTCTACAGCCGGAGATTTATGACCACATCTCAGCCTCGCCGTTGCTATGACCTGAGATGACCTTAAGCGCCGACTCCCTCCAACCTAGTAAGCGGCATCCAACCAATCGATCTACTTCTGTGAGATAATCTTGTATGCGTGATCAAAAAGACTTGGTGTTGGTTCGGTCTGTCCATGAGATATCGGGGTAAAACATTTCATCGCTCCTGCAAACAAGGGGCTGAGGGGAAGGATTCGTTCTCTCTTGGTTGGGTTTGCCAACGATTAATAGGCATTGAAGAAATAAAAAGTGCTTATACTCTTACAAACTGTTTGATTTAATGTGCACCTACTAATAACAGGTTGTCATTAAATTATCGGACTATATCATTCTTTCCAATCCCGCCCACATTCCAAAAGGTAACTGGACACCAGTGAGTCGCAATATTTCTTCGTCATCATTTTTTCCTTATCACCTGCAATGGCCATCGCAAATCCGCGCGATTTGAAGTCTACAAAATCCCTTACTCCTCCACCAAGTGACGAGAATTTCCCCCGACCAAAAGTACGATCGGGTGATCTATGTGTTGGGTGCATTGTCTGGTTACCTGTAGAGGGCTTCGATAAGAGCATTAAATGCTGCAAAAAAGATTGTTGTGGAAAGGGACTTGGAGAGGACGGATACAATAATCCTGTCGTCGTTCTCAAAATTAGACAGAGAAAAGGCTCGAGCATACGCGGCGATCTAATTTGCTACGTTGCTACCGTACGTTGCAATCAACCCCCCTATCAAATATGTATTGACCAGCCGCAGATTACGACTTTCAGTGATATGAATTTGGAAAACTATCTGTCGAAATGTCCACACAACTCTGAATTTCAGCAATCATTACCTATTAGTCCGATAGATCAGGATAGTTGCGTTGAAAGCACACCCTCATGGCTTCTTCGACTGCAAAAGGGAGCGCTCAAGAAACAATCCTACATTAATCTTGCTCACATTTTCAAAGTACCTTCCAGCAGTCTCTCCACATTTGGCTTCCGAAACCATCGAGCTTATAAGCTTCGGCTCTCAGCCACAAGTTATAACAGCCTAATGGCGGAAATGGGTCTTCGAAACGAGCCCTACGAAGAAACTGCTTCGCTTTACAAGACTGCACGAGCACGACTCGAAGCACTTGCATCCCAAAATAGGCAAATTCCAACTCTAATATCAAAGACAGCACAAGTATCATTTACCCTTCAAAATGAAATGGATATGGAGAAGAAAAAATACCCCACTACTCCCTTCCCAGTTGCCGCACCTGATTGCCCTCATGCCAAAACTGCTCCAACATCTCCTCTTCTCCCGTTAGGGCAACGAAGAAATGTCAGGTTTACCTTGAATGAGATACCCAAATCGAAGAGTCTCCTCAATGTTCCACGAGTGGCTGGTTATGGGACGCTAAATAACCAGCAAATGCTTACTCCAAATCCGATTCAGCCGCCTACTCCATTGACGGCTCGATATCATTCTTTCAGACCATTTGTTGATCATGGATGGAAACATGTTGCTTTGAGATTCTGCTTAGGGTGCTTAGGTCTTGGGACAGTATTTGGAGCTTCCAAGATGCTGTGGTCGGCAAAGGTTTTCCCTGCTAGTTTTTGATGGGAATTTTCATGGCAATTAGTGGTTTTTAAGGATGGCGCATGTTTTGAGTTGGTTCTGGGGTGGAGTTTGATGAGCATTTAACGGAGTACATGGATTTCTGCCTATGGTTTTAAATGTACGATACATTTGAAGAGACGCTGCGAGCACCCAATTGTGCTATATGATAGAAGATGAGGTGATTTAGTATTTGAATTCCCCATTTGTCGCGCCCAAGATATCCATTCATTGAGAGAAAGTGACCTCGACAGATTGCAGCATACGCATCTGAATATGACCTTGGTGCAATCTTGGTCAAGCTACAGCACCCCTTCTGATTGCGTCAGTGGCATGATATAGAAATGATTGCGAAAGGCCCATTACATGAGTTTATCAAGTGGTATAAACAAGAATATTGAGTGGTTTATCCTAACATCAAAGGTGCATGCAGGCATACCTAATTTTCGCATTTGTGAGTGTTGAATTAACGCGAGTCCCAAGCAGGAAAGTCCTTGTCGTCATCCCCAAAGGGGGGCTTATGGCCAAACTTTTCGAAGTATTGTTGCATCTTTCCGTAGTACTGCGATTCTTCTTCACAAAAAGCAAAAATCTCCATTCTATTTTCACTCTCCCTTTATAGTCACTCCATCGGTGGTAACAGGCGTGTCTCTCTGGTTCTTTTGTCCATTGTATCAGTTGATCAAAGTTTCTACACATGCGAACTTGTTCGTGCCCAATTTTGTTCGGGAAATCGTGCACTGAAGATGATTTATTAGTCAAGATTTGCCAATAGCACTTGTATAATGACCCCCTACGATAACATCTAAGGCTGGTAGATAGAAATTTCACATCACTCACTAGGCATTGGGGTATCGTCGGCATTGCACATCATATCTTGACGGAGTGCATCCAGACAATGGTGGACATGACCGGCAGAACTTCCAATATCACCACCTCGCTCATAATCGATGAAAGCTCTGCGCAGTACTTTCTGAAAGAATTTTTGATAAGCAGAGCGATATGACGAGTAGTTTTCCAATCTTCTGGACTGCATTGAAAGTTTCTTACCAGGCAATGTAACCCATGGAAAGCTTTCAAAAAGTAAATTCCTTTTGCTTCAGGATCCCATGGAAACCGAAATACTGAAAGCGGCAGTTGATGCTCGGTCGCCCATTCATCGTCAAGCGCCACTACCAGCGGGCTTGTATCAATACTGTCCCACATCTCATCTTGGAGGGTGTCATTGTTGCTCATATAATCTGTGTGATTGTAGTATATGAGAGGAGTGTCGTATTTAAGACGTGCTTTCATTTGATTAGTATGAACACAATAATAGATTTTGTATTGGATGCTTTTCAAGTTGATAGCACTCAGCTAGTTGTATTATGGATTTAGAACGTACCGTATCTAGAGAAAGCTAAACTATTTTCTGAAGATTTTTTGTCCTCGAGCTTTGTATGATGAAATAGAAGGAACGTATTGCTTGATAGTAGACACAAGATGATGAAAACTAGAAACTTCGTCATGGAACCAGTTTGTGGTGTAATCGTACTGACTACTTGCTTTCCCATCAGAAAACTAAATGTAGTGTATTCTCCTTCTATATCCTGATTGGCTTGCAATAGATGAACTTTTGACTCCATATCCTCCATAATTGAAATAATGATAGTAGGATCAACTACCCAGTGACAAGATGTCCAGAGTTTTTGACTTCATAGTTCAACTTCAGGAGAATCAAATATCCTCAATCCAGCGGTGCGAACATACTTCTCGGGAGTCTCGGGAAGTAGGGATTTGAAAATCTGCAGCAGTTTCCCAGGTAATGATGTTGGTTGGAACCATTGATTTAAATATTAATTACCGGCCTTTCAAGTCTCTGGACTAGGAATTTGGGACTCTTCAATTACAAAACCATGTCAATATCCTAAATTATATCAAAATTAGAGCTCCTGGATAGGTTGATCGCGTCTGGCACTTCAATGTCTCTCATTCTTCGGACAGCAATTCTCCTATCAAAAGCCCTGACTGGTTAGTTCCTATGGCGTTCACACTATTCAAGCAAGATACATTACTAGTAGTGGAGAAAGATAAGAACGGAGCCAATGTATTAGGGTAAGAATTTCCATGAGGCGTCAAATTTCTTTCCACAGCTAATGCATTCGAAGTGTTTTCTCGAGTAGATATATGGATGCTGAAAGTGGAATTCGGGCTTTCGCTGCTGAGGGGTCGGGTATTGGTTGTTTAAGATTTGTTTTGAGTTTGTCTTCTGAGATTCACATGGCCTATGCCAAGTCAACAGTATCGCCAATATCAAGAACCTTAGCAATGATATCCTGCATCGTTTGATATCGTGAGACTCTAGAATTATGGGATTGATGCTCTAAACAATCATTATTCTATATGCGTTTTCCACAATCCAGACAGGGCAGGGAATTACCTGCAGCGTATCAAAGGCAAATTTCGTAAGACAAGTTGTGAAAACCAGTGAAGATGAAAGGTCTATTCAGTCACATTCAGCATTGATTGATATATACTAAAGTCGATTTGCGTGATTGATTGCCTCTGCAGCCGCGGGGCCGATCGTTTCTCCCAAGCATCGTATATGAAAACTTCTGCGAACATCTCAAAAGGGCTGCCAAGGACGAGTCCGTTCACCTTCCTTCACGATGCCATTAAGCGGTCTCCACACTAAGAGGTAGGGTTGTTAGAAGTTTGACATCTCAAATAGATCTCCCGTGACGAAGCGGGGGTGGGGAGCTCGGGGGTTAGATCGATAAGCCGATTATTCAAACTTACTTGCATACCATGGAGGCATTTTGAGGTCATGAGCAAGCTTGTTCCACAAATCTGACTTGTTGGAAGGAACGAACAAATCGAGCTTCATCACAACTCGATATCCCCACTTCTCGTATAGATGCCTACCGAGCTCACTAGCTTCAATGAAACCTTCTATTCCCATTTCGTCGATTTTAGTATTGGCACATTCCATCATCAGTCCACCAACACCACGAGACCTGTGATCTGGGTGTACGACCATCATGTATAGTCCTAGATAACAGGCTGTTAAGAGTGAAACTCAAGATTATGAGGTAGTATGACAACTGACCAGCATACTTATCATGCATCCATAAGCTCCTTGACGTCATGGACTGCCTTATCATCTCTTCGCAAAACTCCCTCGCCTCTCCCTCTGGCCACCAGTATACACTAGGCGTCGGAATACCATCTGGAAATGGGTTTCCATCATGCCATTTCCATAAGCAGCCACCGACGATTCTCAAGCTTTCTTTATCTTCAACAATTATCCATTGATTGGTCGCGGGATTCGCGGCCAGATGCTCTTTCCACAGTCGTTCTTTGGATGCAGCAATCCCTGCAGATCGTTCTTCTAGTGAGTAGCCGGCTACGGGGAAAAAGATAGAGCTTGATGGCATGTATGGAGAATATTGAGCTCTGAAGATAACTTCAACTACCGCGTCGAGCTGCTCCCTCGTTTGGAGTCTCCTCACTGTGTAATCTGACATGATCTATTGTAAAGATTGAATCAAAAGAAAGAACCAAAGGGCAATCGAAAACAAGGAATGAATATTTCTCACAGCTAAGAGAAAAATGTTCTTAAGAAAGGTGCATCTGTTCGTATCTATTAGTGTAACGGGTTCATAGGCTTTGTTTCCGGTCAGCCCTAGGTCATGTACTTTTTGGCCCGTGCCGCTCCCGCAATAAAATGGTTTCATGTACCTGTCTTATCTATCAAGCGAAAGCACACACAGCTGGCCAATCCATTTGCAATACTGAAGATATCATTGTTGCACGATGTAGGGAAATCGTACGACAATCATCTTCATAGAACACACTGTTAAGTTCTTGCGAATGCTCTCATATAACTTTCCATCCGAGGCAAAGGAATTGCTACCTTCCATCTTTAGTTGCGAGATACTTATCAAAGTCATAGATAGCATTGGACTGTATTGATTCGTTCAAATGGTGTGACAATTTACGCCGCAATTGACCCCTGTGGGATTGAACGGGCTGGCCAATGCCCGTATGGAATGATATTTTTAGACCTGGTATGTGTTTGCATCGCAATTCAAATTCACGTTCAAATTTACGTTAAAATTTATCGATACTACTACCATAATCTTTTGCAGGGTGGTCAGCATAGTGTATATCGAAAATCCTGTAGAAAACTATCTAATGATCGTTCCAAAAACACTCGAGTATTCCAGGGCTATGGCGTAAGCTTATTATGCCTTCATTAGGGGTTCAGATGGATATCTTGTACGCTATATCTGCGCAATTTTGTACTAGAAAAACACTTTCCAACTTCTTCCACAATTTTTACCACCCCAAAACTTGTGCACTCAGTCAGCTATGGCTCATGACCAAGATCCGGGCTATGTACTTGCAGCGGGTGCTACATTTTTGGTCTTGTGTATTGTATTCATGTTTTTGCGAATCTTGACGCGATATCTGCAAAAGACTAGGTTGGGCTTAGATGACTGGTTGACTATTCCGGCTCTTGTTAGTTCACCCCTCATTCAACTCCTCTCACTCCTGTTTGCAGTCCCCAAAATTGGTACTTATCAATGCAAAACTTTAGTTAATGGTGATTGGTTGTTCATTGGTTTTGATCATTGGTATGTTTTGACATCAAGTATCTCACGGTCGGTGTTAACCAAGATCCAGGTGTTGAAAAGAAAGTTCTTGCATACCCTACTCCGCCACCCATAGATCTTGAACACCCCAACGATGAACAAAGCTTTAGCTTTACAACTGTGGAAAAGGTTTGAAATCGATGTCCTAGCTTTTTCATATATAAAAAATGCTAATGATGAGCAAGCTAGAATGGGCTTTCTTCCTCATGCAAATTCTGTCCATGGGCTTTACCAAGCTCAGCTTCATATTTTTCTTCAGAAGAATATTTTTAACTGGAAATCGATCCTATTTATCAATAGTATCTGCTTGCATTCTAGTGGTTGTTGTATTACGGTGCTTGGTATTCTTTTTTTTGGTTCCTTCTATCTTGCGGCAATAAGTTTGCTACTAGATGGACCACAATCAATACACTTCACCACAACTGTCAAAGTGACATTCAGAGCGACCTTGCACTTGCTATTTCCGAATTTTTGACGGATGTTATGATACTGGGTTATGATACTGGGTCTTCCAATTCCAATGGTACGGCTCCAACCTTCCTGCAAATTTAAGAAGATCATATATTGACGTGCTGGCGGTTTAGGTCTTGAGATTGCAAATGTCAACCGGTAGAAAGGTCGCAGTCTTAGCAGTCTTCGGACTAGGATCTATGTGAGCCATTCCTCGAAAAATGTTTCGATTCTTCATAGGAAAGCATGATTGATTGATGACCACAACAGAGCTCTCGTCGCATCCATTGTTCGGCTGGCTTTGTTCGTCAACATCACTGGCAGTGAGTCTATGGTTCAATGAATTTAGTGCTTTGTTATGCAAATCTCTGTAAAATAGTTACACTAACATAGCGCGTCACAGTTGCATCGGACAAGATCAAAGATCCTAACGCAGATAATGATTGTGGGTTCCCAAGAAACCTACCTCTCTTTTCGGAAATCGGGACGACTAATACGTATATGTGAATGTAGTATTGACAACGCGTTCTCTATTCTGGTCCATGTTAGAGTCGGGTCTTGCACTTGTGGCATGTTGCTTGCCCTCTCTGAACTCCTTGGCTGGGCTACCTGCATTTCGTTCAATGATTGACAGTCTTCGAAGTATTGCTAGTCTTCATTCATCATTTGAGCATTACAAAATAAGCCAAGGGAATGACAACTCCCAAATCAAAGCCAAAGATCCATCTTCGGCTTCTCGAAAAGCTCTAGTGCCAGAATCTGCTGATTTCGCTGAGATCGAGACATATGCGATGGGTGATGTACCAAAAATTTATCACGGAAAAAGTGCTGGAGAAGACGTTATTTGGGTCGATAAAGTCGTAGAGCAGCAGAAACATACTGTGTAAAATAATCGCGAAGTCTTGAACAAACCATGGTCTGAAAATTTGTTGGATATTGAGAAGTATTGGGCCTCCTATTCCTATGTAGATTCTTGATAGAGAAAATGAACTATAAGAATTCGGCAATCTTAAATTTACCCAAAGACAAGGAGATTATATACAAGGCTCTGAATACGGTGATTTGTATTCTTCCTGATGGAGACTAACTTGACGATTGGTGCTTAGCCCCTTGCTCACTCTTCTTTGTGCCGCAGAAATACAGAACGATGTGGGGCTACATGGTGGCAGCCGGCACTTGAGTCCTGTCACTAATAAATTATTGTAGATAAGATTGCATTCTGCTTCTGCCTAGCAATTCGAAATACCAATTTCTTTTGGCTCAGTTCTACATCATGAAGGAAGAAAAGGAGAAGGTCCATTATCTGAATGACGCAAGGGTTGGCACTACCACTGCAATCGTACCAGAAGTGTCTGCCCCTGAAACCACACTACTTTCTAGCATCGTCGAAGTTACTGTTGACTATGAAGGACCCCACGATGCTTCCAACCCAAGAAATTGGTCGAAAGCTTATAAATGGAGTCTAATGCTTATAATAAGTGCACTTTCTATGACAACGTAAATTGACCTGAAACTTCATTCAACCATGAGTTTTACTAACAAATTAATCCAGGAATCTCACTGTTCTTATTTGCGCTCCTGACATACCACAAATCCTGGAAGAATTTCGTTCTGACAGTGTACTTAACGCTACTCTTATTCTAACAATCTGGAACCTAGGAGCTGCCATTGGCTGTCTATTCATGGCCCTCTGAGTGAGATGTATGGACGCAGACCAGTCTATAACTTGGCAAACCTCTTGTTTCTCCTCTGTATAATAGCGGAAACCCAAAGCAAGAATGTTGCCATGGTCATTGTTTTTCGATGTCTCAGTGGAGTGAGTACGGCCACGACGGCTCTCAATCCAACGATTCTGGGAGACATGTTTAATGTTGAAGAGAGGGGAGGTGCTCAGTCTTTACTTTCCCTGATGCCTCTGATAGGTCCCGCGATTGGACCATTATTCGGGGGTTATATAGCTCAGACAGAAGGTTGGAGATGGACCTTTGGTCTAGCTGGTATCACTTCTGGAACATCAAGCATTCTGTTCTTTCTGATATACCGTGAGAGCTATGATGCATCGATTCTTAGGCGCAAAGCAGCAAAGATGCGCAAGGAGTTCAATGGCCCATCAATTCATTGTCGATATGATCAGCAGGGCTCGAAGATAAGTTCAATCGTGAACGCGCTGGTGAGACCAATCAAGATATTGGTCGCTCCTATCTTTGCATTGCTGATTTTCTCCATGTGTTTGCTCTCTGCGTATGTATATCTACTAGCATCGTCGATCACAGAAGTGTTTCAGACAAACTATGGGTTCTCAGAGGGTGAAGCGGGACTCACATTTCTTGGGTTAGCCATAGGTATGGCATTAGGCGCAATTCTTTGTTCTGCGGTGCTAGATCGGTATACAAAAAAAATGAAAGTCCTCCATGGCGGCGAAATCAAACCAGAATGGCGCCTTCCACCGATGACCCTGGGATTCGTGATTTCCCCAATAGGTTTGATCAAATACGGATGGACAGCCTATTTCCAAATACACTACATAGTTCCCATCTTTGGGACTGCGCTATGTGGCTTTGCGACCTACACTACAGTAGTCCCTACTACAGTGTATTTGGTCGATATATCAGGAATTTATCGCGGTTCCGCCATGTCCTCAATGACCATGTCTCGCAATATAATGTCCATCATTTTACCGCTGGCTGGACCACCGCTATATTGATTCCTAGTTTTAGGCTGGGGAAACTCTGTTCTGGCTTTTATTGCTTTATCGTTTGCTCCTCTGCCATTCATTTTGCTTAGGTACGGAGAACGTATTCGGAGCAAATCGCGACTTGAAGACTGGATGTGAGACCCGAGCTTAGCAATCAATGTCTGGAATAAACGCAGTGGCAGCGGTACCTAGAATTATTCCTCAAAGGAAGAGAATAATACGAGGGCAAATCTCACTATGGGAGGAGTCATGCTTGTGGATAAGCATCACCAGCCGTCAAGTACGGGTCTTTGGTCTGGGAGGAACGTTTTCTAGTTCTTGACTGAGCCTTACAATCTAGTACTTTTTGAAAAACTGTTATTTACAAATATAAGGTGCTACAAGAATCCATTTTGCTAACGCGATTGGTTATGCTGAGATATAGTTGAAAGCTCTCTGTATGGTAGTCAAGCCTGAATCTCACTTTATGTAGTTGTAACGTGAGGATGATCGTGGTATATCTGTAGGAAAACATTCATATGATTCCATCAAAGCTTGAAAGTGAGACGGAAAATATCAGAAGTTGTAAAGGTTCTCGATAATAAATGGTTTAGTAGATGATTAAGCTTGTATAAACTCAAGGTCACCAATGAGGGCTTCTTTCACTTTCAATGCTCAGAGTTAGGCCGAACAAGGCTACATAGTCTGTATAGTACACAGCTATGTTATGGGTCAAATTCCGAAGGAATGGATGTCGCTCGATATCTTTGGTACCACGTTGATGTCATCGCTGCCATTTCTGAAAGCTGGCTCATCCGTACAAGCTCGAGGCTAAATCTTCTACTGTCAAAAGAATCCAAGGATCAAAAACAAAAACGACTGCATTTAGTCCATATATAACTCTTAGTTTCCAAGCCGCTTACCTTTAGTTAAATGCTTTATCACAAATGAGTCCTTGCCGTTGACGCGGCCGGGCGGAGAGATCGAAATCTATAGACTTTCCGATATTTCAGTGAAATATCTGACCAATAAACGAGAAAATAAAGCATCAAAGTTCGGAATAATAAAGTCTATACAATCCACGGTGTATGTGTCAAATGACCCAGCTGGACACATCAGTAGCCACAATCGTGTGTATGTATTTGAAAGGTTTGCTAGATGAATCAGCTGCTAAGCTTGAATTGGCAGATGACTTTAAAGCAATCCACTGTTGAAAATTATATAAAATCTCTTCAATTCCGGTTCAGCTGCAGAACAATTGAGATGGACAGAGCATTGAAAGTCTCTGATTCGTAAGCATAGCATTCTTTGCCAGACATCCACTTATCACCATTCGCTAAAGTCTCTAGCGGCGGTTTGTTGTGGGGAAGAAAGGTATGTCTTTCTCGGATATTGATCTTTCACAGGTGAATCTCTCGCTTAACCAATCTAAAGTATGAGATTCTCAAATTTTCATCCACCTAATAAATGTATGACATCATCTTTAATGAACTAAGAGCTCTTTTCCGAAATGAGTCCCCCGAATTTTGCTGAGGAAATAGACGAAGATAGTCCTAAGATACATAAGCAATTCATGAGCTCCAGTGAAATTGAAGACTGGAAAGTAGATCTAGTGAATGTCTTCATTGAAAGATAAACTTTTAAGAACCACGGGCACGCACTGAGTCAACGGAAAGATTAGTTGAAAGATCTTAGCAAGCCAACAAGCCTTCTTGCCCATAAAGAAGCGATGGAAGGCACATTAATCTTTGTAGTCCTTATATATAGCAAACAATCTTCTCTTTGACCAATAAGGTAAACTACTTGTCTAAAAAAGGATGTTGTTCTGTCCTTTTTGAGAACCAAAATCTAAATGTATTTTAAAGTGAAGGGTTCGCTAATTCACCACAGAAACAATAATAATCAACATTCACTCAATCTCGTTTGTACGGCAGCCAGCCACTGTAGCGAGTTGACGATGTTTATTCACTACAGCAGGATCCTTTCGGTGACGCTAAGAATTTTCTCATCTTTAAAGTCAGCGATCTCTCCGACTTTACAACAACCACCACTACCAAACCATCTTCTTGACAGCTTTGATCAATGTAAGAGCTGCAAAGATCTTGAAGCTCTCTTGTTACTTCGAACCTCAATAGATCATCTTTATTTATCAAATCAAATCTCGACCTCTTCTTATCCGCTTTGATTATTCAATACATCAAGATGGCTGACCAAGAAGGAAATTTCCCCAACGACTGGACTGAGGGTGATGTAGACAACTCATCACGAATAACTCCATGTGCTCCCAATTTTCAGTCCCAGAATATGTTTCTGGGCAACAACAACCAAGGCATGGCTGTTCCTCCATCGCCTAGAGTTGGTCAAATGTTCAACTCTGCCCGCACACCACATCGAAATGGGTACCATTTTGGTGAAAATCTATATAATCAAGATGTTACAACACCTCCACAGCATGGATATGGCCATTCATCTATTCCTCTGCGCTTGCAACGAAATTACGGCTTTCACTCGGGTCCTCTGCGAAACTACCAAGGCACGAATACTCCTCGAAACAACGCATATGTGGGAGTAAGCAGCCCTCTGAGTCCGTTTGCTCCTATGCCAAAAGTGAGCAGCAGCAATCCAAGCAGTATACTCAATCCAGCTGCACAAGAGTATACGAATTACATCGATCCTGTGCCGCGTGCCTATAACTTGCTACAAAGCTACAGGTCGTTTAATAATGGTTTCCAAACACCCTTAGCAGGCAACGCGAGACCACAAGGCATACCCCAGTATAGCGGTTCTATGAATACAACTATACCGGTGTTATTAGACTCGCATGGGGGTGCTTTCATGCCGGCCTATAGTCAACAACCATTGACCCCTCCAGTGAGCAATGAGTCAAATCAGAACTTGACACCTTCTCAAGTTCCAGAGGAATCACAATGGAGAGCCGTTGGCTCTCCATTACCACGATCAACACCAGCAGGCAATTCCGACAGTAGTGGCAGTGCCACTCCTGAGAACGACGAAATTGCCATCCAGCGAAAGCCAGCAATGGTACCCAAGAAGTACCCCTTGCGTGCCGAGCATCTAATGCCCGGATGCATTGTCTGGTTATCTAACTATGAGGACGGACACGAGCCGATAGTATGTGTCCAAAATCATGAGTGCAACGACAAGGTCAAAGAAAAGGATGGCCGCAATCATCCGGTAATGATCTTGAGGATCAACCAACGTCGTGGCTCGAACATCGTTGGTGACGTCATACTCGACGTTGCATTAGTAAGTCTTCACTCATCTACTTTCTTGTCTTGATCCCTCGTTCTGAATTCTCGTCTGTAATAATCAGATAGACTCTACCCTGTGCTCCTGTCCTTTTACCCTCTGATCTGAATTCGCAGAAGCTCTACAACACTATGCCTAAATGCTTTTTTAAAGGATCTTACTAACAGTCGATCAAATTAGATGACAACTCTTGGCGGTCTACCTCTGAACAAGTACATCAACAAGCTGCGCACGCTTGGACCGGATACTTCAATGCAATGGTATCTTCAAGAGACCATGCCACTGTCTTGGACCCCATTACAAACACCCCAGCTGAAGGGTGACAAGCTTGACGCAGTACGGAAACACGAGCAGAACCAAGAGTCGCAGCACCATGCTGAATTGAATCAACGCGGCAAAACCTTGTTGTTTCTCTCACGGGGTAGCATGCAGAGACGGTCGTACATGCGTGTACATCACATCTATGCCGTCCCTATCAAGCAACTGCAAGCTTGCAGCCGGTACGCAAAGCTTGCTCACATGGTCCGCTTGGACGAGTCTGGGTACCTGAGAGTAATGGAGGTCTTGAAATTGGTTCCAGAGCCTTGGGAATCCAGCATCGAGAGAACCATTGCGGCTGCTCCGCAACGCCTTAAAAACCTTCGAGACGAGGAGATGGCACAATTCAACGCCATTCAATTGGCTGAACGCCAACCTCGTCAAGATGAAGCTGTCATGCAGCAAGGTCCGAACGTCACACAGCAAAGCCTGTTGGGTAATGCTTTTGGCGTTGAGGCCGAGGGTCGCGAGCCCTGTTGAGGTACTCGCGACTCAAATACTTGGATACATGAAGTTCTTTTGCGTTTTACTTGTTCACACTTGTGGAACCCGGAGAACAACTTTTGCACACATACGATACTGATACGCACACATGTGGTGTTGAGGGAAGAGATTCAGCTGTCTCGATGCAAGTTAGATTAGCGGGTATGGATTAAGGAGTTATTGAGAGGATCGGGTAGATGAGTAGAGCGGCGATGTTCAATCCCCTCTTTGGAGTTTGAATTAGTGAAATCCTGGATATTTGATACAAAAACAAGTGGTAAACACATTGAGGTTCTGATTTTTATGGACGGGAAATATTATGGATATGTTATGGTTGGTGTCTGGATAGGTTACTATGGACGAGAGACGATGATAGAAACTGAGCGATCGCAAGTCAATGCATGAAACTCGAATAATCTTATTTCATCCTTCTGAGAATCTCGTACATCATGATTGAAGTTTTGTGCATGTTATGCTAACAGCCAGACCTGTAAATCTGGAAGAAAACGTGATTGGACGCACCTGATGAGCCCACGTGATATCAACTTCTGACCATCATCAGTTTTCATAGACGACCCTTCCAGTCTGTCCCCATTATTTCCCTTCAGTCTCGTTCGATCTTCAGTTCGACAGTAAGCCTCACCTTTCAATCACTATTCCCACCCCCTTCTAAAAATCTCGAAAGCTGAATAAACCCCACCAACCCCTCTCGACCCACAAAACCAAAGCAAAACACCACAAAACTACTGCAGCTCCCAACACACGAGCGACATGACTCACCTAACAAAGCATAAGATGAGGCTGGAACCGTTTCCCAGACTTTTAGATTGGTCTGGTCGTGCCGTTTTCTGCTAAGGGTTTCCAGACGTGCGACTAATGCAAAAGCTCGAAATTCCCCACAAATACCTCCACACAAATGATGCCACGCATCAGACGACAATTCATCAGAGCTCTCCCGTCATGAACACGAACGCGTTGGGAGCCACGTCTTTCCAGAGTTCATGATCTGTAAAGAGAGCATACAATCTTCGACACTAGTATGGATTGTGCATTTGAGGCGAATTTCATGTGATGTGCGTCATTTTAGAACGCAGTTCGAATCATGAGCCAGCATCCATGGTAAGATGGTTTTACTTATATGGTTATGGATACCATAGCCCCTATAGTTGGGGAAGTATTTTGATACTTACTATGGAATGATATCTGATATGTAGTCTACTTGTACATCACTATTCCATCGAGCCTAGAAGTCACGTAAAAGTCAGATGCCAAGAAATTGGGAAAATCTGATAATTTCAACCTAAAGTGAATGAAAGACGACTGCTAGTGTTAAATATCAGACTATCGCAACTCAGGGGTATCACCGAACGCGAACGCCATCATGGATTCTGGATATCTCGCACCACCAATCTGGACCTTCTCAATAGCTGTCCTAATCTCTCTCTCCTCTTGTCTGCTAAGTTGCACATGCAAGGCCTCCATGTTTTCTTCCAAATACTTGATTTTCTTTGTTCCCGGAATTGGGATAATATCATCGCCTTGGGCAGCTAACCATGCTAATGAGAGTTGTCCTGGTGTAACACCTTTCTCAGATGCGATCTTTGTCAGCTCCTTCACGAGCACAAGGTTCTTTGGGAAATTCTCTTGGGAAAAACGAGGGGCGCTGAGACGGAAATCGTTAGGCTCAAAGTCAGCTCTGGATTTAATTTGGCCTGTAAGAAAGCCACTAGTGATAGGTTAGCATGCTGTATGTAGTTGTAAGAAATGCTTTGATTGAGGACATACCGGCCAAGAGGTGAATAGGCAACGATGGCAATACCAAGCTGGCGACAAGTTTTCAAGACTTCGTTCTGTTCAATATCCAAAGAAAATGGAGAATATTCAACTTGCACGGCATCGATGTGGTGTACTTTCTCTGCACGGAGAATGGTCTTCGGACTGACTTCAGAGAGTCCTAGATATCGGATCTTTCCCTCTCTATTGGGATAATCATTAGCTTGGATTCGACGGCGTATGTTGGCGGGTGCGACTTACCTCTTTAACTCAGCCATAGCCTCTACTGTCTTTTCAATGGGTGTCTTCTGATCCACTCTATGGCAGTAGTATAGATCGATGGTCTGAACACCCAATCTTTGTAGACTCTTCGCACACGCAGCCTTAACGTATTCCGGACTGGTATCAAAAGTGCGAGTTCCATCTGCATTGGTTTTGAAGGCGAATTTGGAGGCTAAGAATATTTGATCCCGCTTTCCTGTGCGTTTGAACCATTTTCCAAGTAGATCTTCGGAGTCGGCATACATGTCTGCGGTGTCCCAGTTCGTCTGTCCGAGTTCGTAAGCGCGATCGAGGACCTTGAAACGCTCTTCATCGGATTCGGTGCTGCCACTGATGGAGAGTTAGATAGGTTCATCAAACTGAACACATGATACTGTGTGAAGCCACTGTATGAAGAAGGGTCCGTGAAACTCACTAGAAAGCACTTAAGCCCATGGTTCCGAAGCCTTGGGCAACTACTTCAGGGCCATATCTGCCCAATTTACGAGTAGGAAGTCGAGGCATTGTGGATATTTGTATGTGAATAGATTATCTGTATGTTCTTCGAAGTAAACAGTTTTTCGATCGAGGAATTAGGAGATCTATGAGGTGGGAACCTCTGCTCTCTTTATACGTAACCCCTCGTTCGTCCCATATCTCCGTTTTCGTCACCTAACTCCATTCCAAGGCTAACCCCCACCATAAGCGTCGGAATTACATGCAGAATTACATAATCTTCGACCAAACATTGTTGTCCATGTATGCAAAGCTCTATTAACGACGACAATGATCTTCATTCGATTTGGTTAGGTGGGTTTGGTGGTGATGTGGTGATGGGTATGAGGTGATGACGATTTAAAGTTTTAGCGTACATATTTTTAGTGGTGTCTCCTCGGAAGAGCCCCTGTAAGTACGGATAATTACCCCACCTGGATTCTGGTCAAGCACATCAATGGATTTCAGAGCATGTGAATTTCGAATCACATAAATCACATATACCACACCAATCGGAGCAGATCAGGTTAATGTTTTGAGCTGAGTATTATAGAGGAGTTCTATCTCCACAACTTAGTCAGAGGTATAACTCAGATAACAATTCAAGCCTCCGTCTAGAAGCCAGGAACCTCAATGATGCATGTATGAAAGCTTCGTGGCCTATCCTAACTCTGCAAGTTTCCACAGTGGCTGCGGAAGTTTGGAATCACAACAAGAAAGCTATAATAAATCCCCCAAAAGTCCTTCAGTGTTTTCTGAGTCCTCTGGTTCTGGGGTGCCGCTAGCTTTCCATGAGGGGTGACCGGAGAAAATACAAATATTCTTTACTTTGCACTCTGCAATAAGCTTCGTTAAGAAAGGGATCTTCTCGCTCAATTCGCAATGATTCTCACAATCTTCACATTTGTATTTAACAATAGCGTCATCCCAAATTAGTTCAATCTTTCGCAATTCAGGAACATATTTTTCCTTTTCGGCGACGAGATTATAGAGTTGTTCCAAGCTAACAACATCGTGTTCGTCAAAGGATGGTTTGCACACCAAAATCCTCAAACCGGGCGGCAAGAAATTGATCAACTGAGATTCATCCTCAATTGGGCTTTCGCTTGACCATTTGGGGGGAGATGGCGAAAGCTTTGCAACCTGTAGTCGTTTGAATTGAGACAATGATAGGGACTGGTCATCCGGTATACGAGAAACGAAACTGACGTCGACGTATTTTAATGAATGTTTCGAAGATGTTAATCCTTTCAAAATATTGTCAACGTAAAGAGGTATGTCGTCGAGTTCATCCATGATGTCGGGGCTTCCACTCAAATAGAATCTTTGAATGCCTGTGAAACACCCAAGGAAAGTAGCAATGTCATCGCTGAAATAGCATGAAACGAAGTTCAGACTCTCAATATTGGGTATTGGTGCTACGCATTTTACCCTACGGCTGTTCATGCAGGAGAGATGTCACATCGAGACAATCTTGAATCTTTCCACAGATCTTAAAACCATAAGTGGCACGATGGAATCCAATCTTGTTCTTCTATGGTAAAAATCGGGTGCAATTGTTATGCTTTCTAAATTTTCAAGCACCCTTAGAGGAGCGATGTCTGGAGATTCAGTCCGCTGATCTTCTGCGAGTCGAGCAATGAAGTTACTAAATGTAGAAACTTCGTAATGACTTCCCTTCAAAGTTACTCCATGCCAACGGCGCTCTTCTCCCAGTGCTGGAAGTCCCAGCACACTTAATTTCGGAACGAGGCAAAGAAGTACTGTAATCAAACCCCAACATGATATTTCCATCCAAACAATGCCCGTCCAGGTAGAGATATTCTAAGAAGTCAACTTGTTCTGCACCAACAAAGCCTTTTTGAAGAGATCAGGGAACTTGTCTTCCACGGGGCTGGGCGACACAAGTCATTCCAGCTAAAGTGACGTAGATCCAGCCAACGAATGCTGGTCCAATCAACGATCTTTCGATAATAGTGTAGATCAGTATTTTTAACGATTTCCGATTTCCCACAGTGCAGTGAGAGTATAGTAGTTCAATGCACATAGCATAATATCGACTGGAGCATCGTGCTAGCCTTGCAAGGGAACTTTGCGGTAAAAATACCCCAATACCAAGGATGAGCTCCTCTGCTAAGTCATTAAGTGTTGTAGGCATATTGCTGTGCGATGAGGAATCTTTGCTAAACGAAATGATATCTAAAGGGAGATTTTGTAATGGACGTATATTTTCTGTCATTCTATTATTGTAGTAATGATCGAAGCAGCCGAGTTGACAAAGCTTGTTTCGTCCAGCCGTGCCTACCAAAAAAGAACATTATCAGATTAAATGCAGGAGCAAAAGAGTGACCTGCTCTTGGTCTCTGAATGAGGAGATCGCAATTTTCTTTCATTGTGTAAAAGAAACATGGAAGCTTGGAAAACTCTTTCTAAAGGACTGTTCTTCACAGCTTCCAGTTGGATTCAGAGAACACTGAAAGGTTTAATGAGTATTGTGTTATACTTGAAACCGAAACACTAGGCACAAGCCATGCACCTTTGAAATCGAAGCGATATCTATTCAAATTCGGGACACTATCTGATTGAATCGAGCTATTGGAAACCTCGATCATTGAATGGCAGTTTAATTGGCTCCAAGACAACTCAACCTCACTCTCCGCGCTTCCCCGAACTCTTTTAGTTATCACACAAACACGTCTTCAATTGCTTATAGCAGTGTGCTGCGCAACTCAAAAAAAATTAGTCATCGCACGCCGCGGAACAAATGGAGGGTTTTCAAAATCTGAAAAATCTCCAGCATCGTCCTCCACTGTTGCCATTGGTCGTCTTCCACCTTTGACATTCATCTTCGTGGCATCAGGTATCTCAGTTCTCTCGACTTGTTCCTGGACCGTATGTCGGCTTTTACTCTTAACTCCAGAGCTTGTATCATACGTATTGTTGAAACATCGATTTGCATTTGAATGATTGTTCTCGTCTGTGTTCTGCACTGCTGCTGCCTCAGCCTCTTCGCCTGCTGGTGTCCATTCCAGTAAGAGCTGTTGCACAATATTGTCGTCAGCACAATCGGTTCCTGATGATCCATAGGGATTGTATGATTTGCCATCATAGTGATCAGGATAATATGCTGGTCTTCGATCGAATGGAATGACAGGCTCCTGTAAAAATTGGTGGGATGCGAAATTATAAGAAGTTAGCTGAGGTGATGGCTGAGGTGATGGTGGTTGGAGTCTTCTGGACCTGCTCCAATCATTGTAAGCTCCACTAAAGGTTTCCGGCTGAGGTACTTTATGGTTCGTTTCATATCTTTGTCTCCAGTTGATACTGTCAGACACAGGTCTTGCTACCGAGGCCGCTCTTCTAAGAGGGGAGTTGCTTGGTCGACGATTGGGCGCAGAGGCTCTTTCAGCAAATGAATGTGCAGATTGATTGTTATACTGGTGTAAGGAACCTATTTCTGGTGATGACAGCCTCGAATCATCAGATGATGCTTCACTTCTTGGAGATGAGGGCCTTGCCGGACTTCTTCTAGCAAATGGATTTGTACGAGGACCATATGTTGTGGATTTTCTCATGAAAGGATTGGTGGTATTCCTACCACGAAACGAGGTTCTCAACGGTGAATGTGATCTTGAATCGTTATCTGATGAGCTGCTTTCGAGCGGTGGGGACCTTGATCTATAGTATCTTCTAGGCAATCCATGTCTTGGATGATCATCATATGTTGAATTTCTGCCCCGGTCTTTGACAAGTGATTGAGGAAACCTTCGGTGGGGTACTCTTCCCACCCCATGAGTTCGTTTTGGAGGTTCATCATCTGAGCTGGAATGACTATTTGATTCGTAAAGCTCAGGATTCCCCATTCTCCGTCGTAGAGATATTCTAGGACTTTCTGCAAAGCTCACGTGCCGCCTACCATTGTAGCTCTCATCATCACTCACATCATCTCTATCTCCGTAATTTTCGTCCCAGGATTTTGTTCTTTTCAACCTTGCTGATGGATTGTTGTTTAACATTGGGAAAATCGTCTGTCTTTCTGGCTGTGGTTGGTTGTAGTTGTGTTCTCTGTCGTAAGCTTCACGTCTGTTGGGCGCCCCCAAGGTTCTGTAGGCCTCAGTAACGAAGCGTCTCCTAGCATAAAAGTCCGAGGGGCTTGATGTCGGATAGGAGGCCTTGCGTAATAAGAGATACGCCCTTTTCAAAATTAGCAATTGAAGACATAATTTCTAGGGATCACAAAAGAAAAAAAGTATACTTCTTGATAGCAGCAGCATTCGCATTTGTTGGGATCTGCAAGGCTTCGTAATAATTGCCAAGGGTTATCTCGGAGTCAGAGGTATCGATATCAGACGTGCCAGATATACATGAAGTACTTCTCGATGACTTGGGGGAGCTCGGAAGCATAGGTTCCGTGTCTTTAGTGCCGGGGTCATAAATTCCAGGGATGTTGTTGGAGGAGATTTCAACGATTTTGTAAAATCAACGTTCTTAAGACTCGAAGTTGTTTGGATATAATCGGCACCTCTGTCTTTCAACGTTGATGAGGAACTCATAGTCCAACCACTCTTCTCCGATCTTGAAGTGTTATCTTCTGATTCATTTGAAGCACCCACAAGGTATATTGTGATTGATAGGACGCCGTCACTTGTAGGGCTCAAACACTTCCCATAGACGACTTCGAGCTGCGCAAGGGTCCATATGATGCTACTATTGACTTCGTTATTTGAGTCGACTATCTTTTGAACCTGTTTCTGCTGTGGTACTGTGAGATCCAAAAGTTCCGCAATGACTGTCCCACTACTTTTGCTTAGCTCTAAAATTCTTCCAAGTATGTGTCTTCCTGAGAAATGCTGTTTGACTTTGTGAGTGTTTACCCAATCAGGCGATTGAAACGAAGTTTCAATGAGTGCTGGGTGAATTGTATATGCACAATAAAGACAATCTCTATCGTCCATAGCTCGTGAGATGAGTTCCCCAAGCTGCTGGAGACCCAGAGCATTACCATTACTACTGTCTCTCGTGTCTGCTCGAGTTGGTGCAGATCTGCAGTCGAGGCCGAAATCTGGCGCCATATCAAGGTCAGTCAGAGGCTTGTTAATGATGATAGCGATATGGCCCTTTTCGCTCCGCGACCACAAGCGACTGGAATGTTTCTTCACTCCCTTGAGGCTTATGAGCGCTTTCATATAATTTTCCTGAGGTTTCAAAACCAGGGTCAGACTAGCGGTCTCGGCCGATTCAAGAAAGCAAAATTCCTTCCACCAATCCTGCTGGGGAGTTTGCGACAGCATCCGCTCGATCTCTGATTTGCGTAATTTGAAATTTCTAACAGTAGGTATCTGCTGATAGCTCTGACCCTTGCTGAAAAATGCAGTAAGAAAGGTACCTTCTGGAATCATCCTGCCTATGTCATCCTCGGCAAAATTATTGCGTCTGAAAATATGTTTGAAGCTACCGCTCTTGATAAAGCTGTGCTTTGAAAGCTTGCTCTTCGATGGTTGGTTAGTGCCAGCCTCAGAACATCTAAATTCGCTCAAAGGATTGGATATTTGAGATGCCGGATAATTGGTGGGGAGTTTTGTGAAATTCGACGACGGCGAACAATTCGGGTTTGAATTATCGAATAATAATTCCTTTCGCTGTTTGGGTATCTTCACTGAATTAGTTTCGATATTCTGTTGAGAGCGACGGTTAGTAGATGATGAGGATGAAGTTTCTATTGATGCGTCTGCTGCTCTGCTTTGAGGGATGATTTTATCCTGAGACCCATTGCTTTTGTTCTTGTCTGAGAATTTATCCATCATCGAGAGTTACCCTAGGAGGTGTGACGTAAAAGCATGTTTTCGGCATGATAGAATTCTCCAACTCTCCTATCATTCCTGGCCGGTGTTCATCTAGATCTCCAGAAAGCAGGTCATACTGAACGGCTTGTGAGCCTAAGTTTTGCGCTTGGCTTACCTCATCAATGGCGACCGCAGTCATTGGTTGCTGTGTTGTGATATTGTCACCAAAATCGATGAGATCCTCAGAAGTATCATGAAGTGAACCAGGATTCTGCTTTAGATTCTCCAAAACGGACATATTTGGTTTCAGATTAAGCGTTTTTTCTGGCTGAAGCTGTTTGGTATGCAGACTAGGAGCTTGCAATGGCACACTCTGTCCTACTTTGTTGCGCGGATCCGTCGTTTTATCTTTTACTTCAATGATGTTGGTCCCCATCAATGGCTTCGGAACGTTGCTAGCTTCATTGCGGCCAACTTGGTAGTTGGTCGATGGCGCCTGAAAAGCCCGTGATGGAACAATTCCTTGATTGTTACTAGAAGAAACCTTTGGACGCCAAGGTTGGGCGGAGGCTCCGGGGCTCAGGCGTTCGCGCCCTGAATTGGGGGGTTTATCTTGCCATCGGGGTACCTAGAAACTTTTTCGATTGGAATCTCTTCGTCTACATTCATGGAAGCTTTTGTACTTTGCTGGGCCACTGTGGAAAGATTGTCCATGTCTCTTGTCTTTCCGGCTAGCATAAAATGATCTGAATATGTCTTCGCTTCACAATTTCCTATATCACTCATGAGTTCAGGTTTCAGTCTCGCTTCAGCATCATGATGTGCCATATAACTCTTAGCTGCATCTAATGTTTCATTGACAGAGTTCACTGCATATTCGGTTGTCGATTTGTGGATAAATCTGGCATTTGTTTTCCCCTTGGATTCTTGGCTTTGCAGAAAGCTGCTCTCGACCCCGTCATTCATTTTCAAAACAGAGTTCAGCGGATCATCTGGAACAGCTGGAGGAATGACTCTGCGAAAGGATGTGTTTTCTCTTCGATTTAGCTCGGGATATTGAAAGAAATTCTGTGGAATATGGGTAGAACGATTATCAACATATCGTATCCCACTGGCTACAGGGATAAGATGTTTTCTGTCGGTTTGATTGATGAACCGATTGATCAAATGTTCGGGTTCGTAACCATTCATTCTAGGATGAAACGTATAGTTTGTCGCTTCTGGGCGCATTCCAACTACTTGCTCGATACCACGTGAATTCATGTCATATGGCGCAGCATACATGGCATTGATAGAGCTTGGTCCTCTACACTTGTGTAAGCTCAATTTCAGATTGGCGAATAAATATCTAGACTTACGATCGAGGCCCATTCAATCTGACGCTGATAACTGTGAAAAGCAGATTCAAACTCGCTTGAAGTTGATGAAGTTCTGTTGCATATTGAAGAAGCTTATGTGTTTGTAACGGGGACAGGTATCGTTTTATCCACGATTCTCTGAGTTTGCGGACTTTCGCTGAAGTTTCATCGACTTTAAGGAGTTGCGAAGGCCTTGTTGGATCAAATTTTACATCCTCTTTGTATTCATTCAGCCTATTGGCAACCTTGAGCTCCAGTTCGTTTGAGACGTCCTTGTGCAAGACCCATGCCTCCACTCTCCAAAATATCTTTAAACAATCGTCTGCGATACCTTGAATGTGTCTGATTCCGCGCGCATTAAGTGTCGCCTTTTGTCCTAACTTTAAGCGCTCGGTTTCCTGTTCCAGAAAATGATTGACGTATTCAAAGGACACACTTGCAGCATCAATGTTTCTTAATGTTGCTTTGAGATTCTGAGCCGCTGCGCCAGCATCAGTCGCGTACTTTCTCAGGATTTGTACCAGTTGGACGCCAAAACTTGCAATACCAATTGCTGAGCTTGCAGCTCCCAATATTGTAATAGGGTCCATTAAGCCGTCGTTATATCGGACGTTCTCACCATTGGAAAAGAAATGAGCCAATCTCTTCAAACAATTATTCTTCAGCTTTCTTTGATCAACCTTATAATTATTGTCCATCAAGGCTCGGGGCTGAGCAAATAAGCTGCATGGTAACCTTATTATCTTATCTGCCTAGGTACTTATCTTTACGCGAGCAATGGGCGGAGTTCTGTAAAGTTCTACAGAGCTTTGTAAATGAGCCTTGATGGCTGCATGAGTGTGACCCTGTTGATCACACACGTAAGCTTTCATCTTCGAAAAGTTGAAAACGACATCCGAATCACTAATACTGCAGGTCAGACTTTATAAATTTGATTTTCGTGTGAATTTCAAACCAGATTTCCACCAATCTCCTGCCTCTCGCACCTGTGATTAAGTAGTGCAAGATGCCCAAAGCATGTCAATGTGCCCTCTTGACATTATGCTCATCAACTACTAATGATTCCGCAACACGACATCTGTCATGAGCCTGCCTTACCCCGCCTGTCGGATAAAATCGGGGTCAAAGGAGCCGCAGGCACTCTTTGTGCATTTGAAAATGATTGATTTTACATCGCGCGAACTTGAGAGTTCTAGATAACGAATTCCCGGAGTTTTGGTAGAATTCATAGATTAGCTCCCGACTGTGTTTTTACCTTTTGTGATTCCCTCCACTATATTCCTAGTCTTCTCTACCACCACTATGAAATCCTCATCCTCAGTATCAGCCAACCTAACCATAGCGCCATGCGTCTTCCCCAATCTGACCACGACTTCAAGCTTGCCCTCCCCATCTTCACTCTTCTCCTCTTTCCCACCCACCCCATCTGAATGCCTGACCTTCTCTTCCTCGCTTCCCACCTCTCTAAAACACACAATATTCCAACCTAAATGCTCACACACTGGATCAAATCTCTCACTCCCCATTTTCAGCCAAATCATCTCTTTCCTCAATTCCTGCATCTCGCTACTCAATGTGGCTTCTGGCAACGCAAGTACCATGCTCAGATTTTCCAATCCCATGTTTTTGGCTACCCCGAAGAACAAAAAAGCGTGGGTTGAAACTTGGATATCACTGAAAGGCGGAGCGATGGATATTGCCTGATTTCGTTAGCAAAATTCATTACCCAACATACAACATGGGAGCAATACGAAACATGTCGGATCGAGAGAATACATACAGCCTGTAATAAGGGACCCCCAAAACTGTGCGCACACCAAATTATTTTCCTTCCTTCACTGTTTGTCTCAGTTCTTAACTCTCTAATGCTCTCCATTAATCCAGCACCGATGCCTTCGACGGGAGCTCGACGTGCATATCCATAACTGAGTACTCGAATCTTCACACCTGGATATGTTTCCAACATCTCAGGCAAAAGATCGCGCAACCAAAGTACTCCATTATCTCCGTTTGTCCAGGAATTGATGGGATGACCATTCTGACCGTGAATGGCTATGATGCTGGAAATGTTAGTTACTGACGATGGAAGAAAAATAGAGACACACTCAACAGTTGCATCGAGAGAATCGTGGATCATTTTCAGACCAATCGATGATGGATCTTGGGGTGTTATCGGCACGGGTTTCGATGTTGGTGGCTGTGGACCATTGTCGTTGTATTTGGAGATCTTCAATAGAAGTTTACCGAAAGCTTTCTTCATTATGGATTATTGGTATGATTTGAAGTGATTCTTTTTGATTACGATATAATTTCTTCAGAGTGGACATGTAGATCACTAACGATTGAATATATGGAATAGATCACATCGATATTTTGGACGGTTTGAATGTGTTATGGAGTGCGTTGAGGCAATGGCGTATGCTTTGATTCCCTACGGCATCCTCGAACACGCGATTATCCGATAACAATGATGTACACGAGTAATATCAGGGATGGGAGCTTGGATCATCTCTGAGCCGTACATGATGACAGTGATGTGGGTGGCGATGGTAGATGAGCCAAATTGGTGCATGGCTGTTTTGTTGGAACTAGAAAATTCGTGGAATCGAGTAACAAAACGTGTTTGACCAATAGCATTTTCGTGTACGAGTATCTATCAAGGTCATAGTTTGAAAATGTTCTACGAAGTAGAGATGTTCTGCTATTATATGGAGCCGGTCCGAAGGATCGTGGAATGGCACGAGAAACAAGTTGCCAGACTAGCCAGAGTGGAGATCAGATGTTCCACTTTACGATCATGTGACTTTGGCCAGTTTATCATCAGCTTCGCGAGTGGTTCCCATGACTGAACATGCAATGCAATGTCAGCTCTGAAGTTTGGGTACAGCATCCAAAGTTATGTTTCACAAGTCGCACAGTAATTCAGCTATCAGGAAATATCTCCGAATCCAAACTCTTCGGAGCCATCACGTGCAACAAACAGAAGAGCGGAAATACCAGCCCCTTCATCGCCCCTCGCTTCATCCAGACTTCCTTTCTTAAGACAACTCCACGGTTCACAATGCAAAAAACTTGAAGCTAAGTCCAGACGTCTAGAGAAAAACAAGAGTCAAGCGCCTACGATAGGTTATCATTTCATGAAGTGGAGTATTCAATTTAATCCAATTTTACACAATTCACCATCGGAAGTTTGATTCACCGATAGCCATTCCATCTTTGCAAACCAATTTCTTGCCTAGGTACTGGTAGCAGACCGCTATCTGATAGCACGCGGGCAATTCCTTTTCTGGAAGATTCGAAAAAGGTACCAGAAGCTAGTTCATAGTTCGACATGTCAATTGGTGCGAAGCCTTTACATTAGGAGGGATACCGCCGTTTTGAAATTAATCATAAGCTAATATAAATGTTAGTGGCCAACGCATTATTTGAGAACCACTATGCTATGGCGAAAAACGCCTCGGCGTACAAATTGCCAATTCCCATCAAGTTCAGGCGAAAATAAGTTCTCTAACAATATCACATTGAAGATCCTCGTGCTATTGAATTGCCGTATATGATCAATTGCAAGTAATTTTCACCACTCAAAATTCACTTCCTGAGTAACATTCTTTATGATTGGCTGTTAAATATTCATGCATGTTATCCGAACAACGCCTACGCTATCGCTCGACCACTCGAGCCACTCACCAGGCATTTAATGTTGCCGGGCAGCCCGTCGATCCCCGCTATTACTGACTAACCCTGAAAATATTTGAAAACCGTAACTTTAACTTCCAATTCGAGGATTCTTTTCCCCTCCAACCCAGGTCAAAGTGTGATCAAACACCCAAAGACCTGGACAATCATACCCCGCATTCTCTAGTCCTGCACGAGGGCAGTTGGAAGTTGGAAGTGGAACGACAGGCAGCATAAGAATCCTGGGGACCCCAAGTTTAGAAGATGGCTCTGTCTTCAGCATCTGACGATCTGGCTGCACAGTCGGATACCGATCACACGATGGGCAACATTCACAATCACGATCACATTGGAGACAATGAGAAACCTCTCCATTTCCCTGAAGAGGACCATCTCAAAGTCTCGTCATCAATGGAACAGATGATTAAGGATGCGAAAGCATCAACGGAAAAGGAGCATAACATGTCACTGCTTCAGGGAATCAGACTGTATCCTAAAGCTATCGGATGGTCTCTTTTGATCTCGACATGTATTGCTATGGAGGGATACGACGTGTGTTTACTGAGTAACTTTTGTAAGTTCAATAGACTCCAGGCTCCAAGATCCATGATACTGATCTTTTAGATGCATTTCCTCAATTCAATGAAAAATACGGCGAACAATTACCTGATGGCACATGGCAGGTGCCAGCTAAATGGCAAGCAGGTTTAAGTAATGTAAGTCAATAATTGCATCATCAAAGGTCGGAATTCAGTTACTCACGTGTCAAATAGGGTGCAAATGTTGGTGAAATTATTGGTCTATTTATCAATGGTTGGGTTTCTGAAAAATTTGGATACCGATACACGGTCATGACTTGTTTGAGTTTAATTATTGCGTTTACGGCAATCTTTTTCACTGCTCAAGACGTCATTGCGCTAGAAGTTGCTGAAGTTCTATGCGGTATTGTAAGTCCACCTCAACTCAATCTCGTCGGAACTTTTGTTAATATTTGAATAGCCATGGGGAGTTTTCCAAACACTCACTATCACTTATGCATCAGAAGTCTGTCCTCTTGGACTTCGTGGATACCTCACTACTTATGTTAATTTCTGTTGGGGATTGGGCCAAGTCATTGGTATTGGCGTTATCAAATCTATGTTACCACGGACTGATGAGTGGGCTTATAAAATTCCTTATAGTCTCCAATGGATGTGGCCAGTTCCACTCCTAGTTGGTATCGCCCTCGCCCCAGAATCTCCATGGTGGCTTGTTCGAAAAGGAAGGGTTGCAGAAGCTAAGAAATCACTTCTTCGATTGACCAGTCTAAACAAGGAAACAAACTTCGATGCTGACGAGACTATTGCAATGATGGTTCATACTACGGCAATTGAGGAGAAAATCACGAAAGGAGCAAGCTATATGGATTGTTTCAGGGGTGTAGACAGACGTAGAACTGAGGTGAGGTTCCCCGTGAGATGATATGGAAAGATTAGAAATTAACGTTCAACAGATTGTCTGCATGGTATGGGCGATGCAAAACCTTAGTGGAAATTCTTTTTCGGGCTACTCCACTTATTTCTTGCAACAGGCCGGACTACCTACCTCCACATCCTATGACTTTGCTCTAGGTCAATATGGTATTAACATGGCCGGCGTTTTTGGAGCCTGGTTCCTCATGAGCTTGGGAATTGGTCGAAGATCTCTCTACCTTTATGGTCTTTGTATATTGTGTAGTATGCTTTTTATTCTCGGATTCCTAGGTCTCGTCCCAGCTGCACATAAAACCGAGGCATCGCTTACTACTGGCTCTATTATGTTGGTATGGGCGTTGGCATACCAGCTTACCGTCGGCACGGTTTGCTATTCTTTGGTCTCTGAGTTGTCTACAAGAAGACTTCAAATCAAAACTGTGGTTTTGGGCAGAAATTTGTATAATATTGTGGGTATTGTCTGCAGTGTTATTACGCCATATATGCTCAATCCCGGTGCTTGGAATTGGAAAAATTATGCAGGATTCTTCTGGGTATGTTGATATAATATTTTCCCCCATTCATTTGATGATTACCGTAGGCTAATACCAAATCCTAGGGCGGGATCTGTTTTCTTTGCATCATATATACCTATTTTCGTCTTCCTGAACCTCAAGGCCGCTCATTCGCTGAACTCGATCTACTGTTTGAGAGAGGCATTAGTGCGAGAAAATTTGCAACCACTAAAGTGGATGTTTTTGATGATGATGTGAGTGTGGAGAGTACGAGTGCTGCGGTAAAGAATTACGATGAGAAGAATGCTGCTGGCGCCAGGGCGCAGGATATTGGAGCTTCTTCGTAAAATCTTGATGTAAAACTCAAGATTCAAGTGAATTAGAAAGAGATGAATGAGATTAGATGAGCGATATGACTACACGATGATGAGTGGGTGGACATTTTCAAGGAGCCTAATGACGAAACGGCAAGCGGCGAAATATGAGCGCTGCAGTGGAAAAGAAAGGAAAAATTTATTGCGTCTACTTCACAGATTGAAGAACGGATATGGCGTTAGGACTTGTAGATATAGTGATGATAATGCATGCGATTGCTGATCGATGGAAGGGAAGTAGTTGGATATGTTAAGATATTTCAATGCGATGTAGATACACATTTATTAATGCAATATACACAGTTTTTTTGCCCCTGGTCTTTTTAGTCCACTTCATTTGCGAACATTCAGGGAAATGAAATGGCAAGTTTGCATTTTCAGATTGGTGCAGCCATGGCTCACTTTCTTAATTCCAGGCACCTTCTCCAGATCCGAGAGACCACAAACAAGATTTTTTACTGGGGGATGCAGCTTTGACAGAGAGCGGGGTAGTCTGAGACCGAGGCGATGACATAGGTTGCTGCTTCTTATACGATCTGCTGACGCGGTGATGCCGAGAAGAATTATGACACAATCCATATTTTCGGGATGATAACACACTGGGATGAGACTAATGCGACGAGGACGTCAAGATGAAGAATATTAGCTGCGAATCACATCCATGCCTTTTCTCCACTTTTATTCTTCACGGGAATATCTTGTTTGAAGCAACCTTTTACAATCATATATGTTACTCTGCTCAGAATCTGCTTTCTATGAACCAAATGTGTCCCTACAAATCTGGAGTCGATGTTGAAGCAGGCACATTTGGAATCTAAATCTGCGAGAAGAAGCAGCCATGTTCGAGTGTGGGAAGTTTTTCACGGTCAATGTTATACTATGGTGATCAATTGGTCTTTTTATCACTAGCTCTTTCACTATCGTCGGGTTGGAGCATCGTCTTATTTCATCAGCAATACTTCTCAATGGTATTTTCACTATCATATCCACCAACACTCCACTACAATCATTTATAATCTCGAATTCCGTGGTCATCGTGGACGCAAATTCCATTCTAGATGTCTCCCAAATGCTCATACACTACGAGAGCAAGTCAAGCATCTTGTGGACCTTGATAAATATTTTGTAAAAGTCTTCTGCAGCCGGATCTTCAAAGAATATGGGGTTTTATATGCTATACTCCTCACCTTTCCTGCTGTGATAAGTCATTGGTTTCTAACACCAAATTCATTTTACCATAAATTTCTCCTTTCTCCAAATCAACATTTGGGTATAAATTTCCTTTGCTTTTCCAAGTTTTACTCTATCACCTTCGTACGAATCCATTTTCGAGCCAAAATGATGAGACGTCGAAAATTGTTAGGCTTATTGGGGGGAAAGGGGGTTGACTGTCTCTCTAAAGCCATAAAGATATGTGGATGGCAGTCATAATTGCAATTTTGATTTGTTTTTACTGTTTAATCTTATTGATTGCCATGTCCACGTCGTTGTCATGATAATTGTTGCCAACACTTTCAACGCTTTCCATAATGTCCACATCTAAACTCAAAACTCTTCTTACTCCTTTCCCACACTGTATATCCTACACAGTTCTCAGCTCCTGCAAAGAACCTGCTTTAAGATCCTCTTGGCAGAACTGGATATTGCAGTAACTTTCATGCATAAAATCAATGAAAGATATAGTTGCTTACCATATATTCGTGAAACTCAATTTTCTTCTTGTCTGGCATTATTCCTTCTCGTACTAATGTATACAAAGTCTCATGAAGCATATTAAATCTACTAATAGCAAGTTTCCAATTACTTCACGAACTTTGAAAATCTCATGTTGCTGCTATAAGAACCACTTATTGAGCATCTACTTTGTCCGATAAAACAACAAAATACTCTCGAAATAGAGATCAGGGGAAAGGAAAGCTTTTCCAGCTTACCATTAGAGTTGAGGTGCTTTTGAGAATAGATGCACCTTTCAAAGATCTCTCATTCCTAGATTCTACAATAAACAGTCAGAATGGCCGTACCTTACTATTTTAATCACCAACTGGTTGATCGTTGCCATCGTATATTAAACATTCGTTGTGATTATTACTGTCACCATTCCCCTTCTACTCATGTGCTCTCAAAGGCCATCTCTTGGAATCTAAATTCCCCAATATAATCATACCTTCTGACTTGACCCTCAACGCACTGCTTCAAGAAAAGCTTCATTTCCCGAGCGCTTCCTCAGTCCGGCTCCTTCCAGAATCTTGCTTCTGTACATAAGACTACAGCCGGGGAAGTAGAAATTATTTGTATAGTCTTCAGGTTCTAGAACACATTTGGAAGTTCATCATCCCTATTTCCATTCTCGACTCATACCAGTCAAGGACTGTCATTTTCCCCGAAGAGATTCTGTTTGATTCATCATATAATCATATATAAACTACCAAGTCACCATCTGCATGAACATCAGGCCCAAGACGATAGATATCTTCCGCTCTTTTCAGGCTCAACAACTGTGAAATCAAACTCAATTCGTCCGTATTAATATTGCCGTGTTCCTCGAGGTGCCGGAAACTGATACTAATGTCTAAAAGCCCGCTTCATTTTGAATCATTTTGCACCGTACCATTGTCGCTGCCGGCGTTGATACCGCAAGCTTGCTGTCACTATTCTACTTCAAGGTCCTAGTTGTATGAATTTTAAAGTACTAAATTCGACAATGTCGGCACTCAGCCCTTGACATTAATTCTACAATTTATGCAAAACTTTTGAACCGTTGCAGAGCACTTCAAGCATGTCTAGCTTTTATTTTGAAATCCCCCTAGAGCGGACCCTGATATAATTTGGAACCAGTTCCTATTATCATACACAGATGGACCCTGATAGCATGATGATTTTATACACTAAGAAACTGGATCATCAAGAAAATTTGTGCTATCTGTGAACCCTGGTAATGAGTTCATCTTTCTGAGCTCATACTGGTGTGTGACCCCATATGCTAATCAAAACCGTTACAGAATCTACTCTCATGTGCTAATCCATGCATCAATGCTCATATAGATAAATACCGTCTACCTTCCCGCTGTCATAGCCCCCAAGATTCAAAAGGGACTTGAGTCACCTAGCCCTCCAAGAGCTCTGGTATCTTGGGGTGCTGGACCGGCGGTGAACATGATTGGGTGACTTAACTTCAAATTCCAGTCTTGCATTAGAATTCGTCAGTTTGTTTTCTGTACAATTTTGAAGTAAAAACTGACAGTAGTTCCAGAATTTTATCGTCACTATCGATTCATCAGATCTCTTATCATCTTTTGAAAATTTCCTTTCCCGCAATTTTTTCGTCTGGTGTTGCTCTCATTCAAATCCTCGACTTTCCACAATTTCAGACTCCCAGATGAGCCGAGTACAATCCGTGTCGTCAACATTTCTTGCCATGATGTGTGCAACGACAAACAATCTGAAAAGACGATATCTTATATATACCCGCCTATAAAACACGTAGATTGGAGTCTTCGAGAACCCATTAATTTTCCTTTTCACTATCCTCCCTTTGAACTTCGGCGTTTCATATGCATGACACCTCACGCTAATTTGAAAATTTGATACCTTACAAACATCAACCCTGACCATTCCAATTTCAATCTATATAATACTTATTACTCACGTCTATTATCTGCAGAGATAATGGCCATACGACTATCAAGAGGACAAAGGTCAAGGACAAACAGCTCCTTGTGGTCTTCATCTCGGAGTCTGTTCAGCCAAACGCATTTTTTCCGAGTTTCTCTTCTAGTTTCCTGCCTCGTATTTTTGGTTCAAAACTCAAAGAATGTCACGGTCATAAAATATTTCTTGTTGTCATTTTGATTCCATACTAAGAATATGGGGTTTTCCTTTCCGATTTTTTTCATTCTTCTTTCTCCGTCATTTCTCATTATATCATCAAAATCGGCACTCTTCATTTTTTACGTTTTGCCTCTCCTCAGACATGCTGTTTGGAGTCTTCTCAGATTTTTCACATATTCTACTAGTTCTTGATCAATACTAGTTTCCTGTACCACTTCCTATGTATATCGCAATTTCTATACAGAATTATTGAAGATACTAACGGTCCTTTATATAACCTTCTACATTTTTTTTCATCCGCTAGATCCAAATCAAGCTAGCTCTGTATCTTCATTCCTCATCCAACTTCAAGCGGATCTTGATATTCACTCTCCGCGTGAGTTTTCTTTCCCGTGCGAAAAATCAGCATCTCTCTCCCAAGGCTCTTCTGCAAATTTGTTACATAGACCTATCTAAAAATTCTATTAAACATTAAATACGATACACTCAGACTCTGCCCCGATTAAGGGCCCGATCGCGTAATTCTAGCCTCGTATATTGTGGAATGCCTCTTTACAAGCTCTCAGAATATCCAAATCTACTTCCTTTAAAAAGGTAATGGCGCAGGAATTATATGGATTATTGCCGGGATATTCGATCATATATCTTCACTGCTATTATATCTTATTCATTTACGTATCCAATTCCCCGCTGTCTTCAACTCAAAGAACTTCCATTATCATTTTCAAATCCCATCAGCGTGAATCGGTCATTTCTTGATTCCCAGCCCGCAAAGAGTCAAAGGTACTATACAGAATATCACCAAAAGAAAGCTTAAAACTCACAGCTCTCATGAACTAACACGGACTTCTTTAGTTGATTTCGGAGAATTTCATTCCTATTCTTCAATACTAACTCATCTCTATTACCTTTATACCCCTCACCCTCTATTTACCCCGAGCATTCCAACCCATCCTTAATTCCCAGCTCAGTGAATCCATCTCATCCTCCCACCCTCTCATATTAATCAAAGTCCTCTCTACTATCCTTAAACCACCTGAACCCCCACTTCTTTGCATCAATAGAACGATGTATAAACCCACTCCACCCCAACCTCAAGTTTCAAACAAAAATTAACACAAACCCAATCGCTCCTTCGAGGGCGTGACTCTTGCTCATCAAGCTGCCTACTCAACTATTATACGTTTGAAGATTATGCTTTTTGTTTGTTTGAGAATAAATTTGAAGTCGTGAATGCGAAGTGTATGTTGTTATCGCTGATTTGTGAGTACTATCAATTACATCATTTGAGCAATCCCAAATTTCATTGTCAAATCAGATTTCTTACTGTCAATATAATTCTCATTCTCACTGTAACTATTATCTGACACTCCTCATTTCTCTCATTCTTCCTTCCCTCTCACTCCATCTCCTTTCGGTGCGATCACAAATGTCCTTCTTCAGAGACGCACTTCTGACACACAAAGTAGAGAACACCGACTCCCTGTTTGAGTATCTTTTTCGGTTCATACAGAACAGAAAACACACAGCACTTCTCTCTTATGTACCCTTATTTTGATGCCCCTTCCCTCAACCCCCCTCCTTTCACAAAAGAATTCACTCCCCCTCTGAGAATTCCATTAAACTTCTAACACGCATTAATATCCCCTGCAACTAACATAGTCCTATTCCCCCCCCCCTAAAATCCGTTTCTCCGCATCAGTACACTATATAAACCACCTCCTCACAATTCTTTACAACATCAATCATCGATGCAGCATTGTGGGAAGACATCAGGTGGCTTTGAACGAGAGCGCTGCAGTATCTGATATCTGATACATGATATAGATGATGCGGAAGCAAGATCAGATATTAGAGGATAATATGTTCAATTATTTACCTAGGTATCTATATTGAGATTCCGCATCAAAATGAATGATAGTGTAACAAGATGACAAAAGGAAACGACGAAATCAAGTCTTCACCGTCGTCAATACTATCGTCACCATCACTCCGCGCTATCATTCCCACTATTGTAACCATCGATTCGCTTTATTACTACCACTCAGAAATCTCCACTTTTACTCTGTCCCTCATCACTACCTTCGCAATCATCCCGTTCCTCTCCAACCCGCTACCATTTCCCCATCCCCATCCCCCTCCCCAAACCAACCCACATACTCACATACACCTCTTTCCAAAAGTAATCTATTCCTCCTGAGGATAATGAGATTATATTTCATATCTATACAGAACCTCTATCCTCAATGTTAGCTTGATCTATATACACCTCTCGCTTAATCTCCACTCTTGTTCTAGTGTACATTTTATTTTCGAATTTTGTTAAAAGGCATGGTTCACGCGGTGCTGATGTAGGGGGAGCTAGCCCTAATTAGTACTAGTAGAACTCTATCATAATAGAGCGCTCTCTCTACCATAGCTAGCTTTAAGACAATCAATCTAATTCAACCTCTGAATGCCCTCATGTTCCTAGCCTATGCTTCCCACCATACCCTGTAGAAAGTCATACTTGAAATAAATTTCTCTATTTCTCTATTTCTCTATTTAGATCTTGTATTATATTCAATAATCATTTCTTACTCTCTATTACCACGCCTCTCCACTCCATTTCACCCTATTCCACTCTTTATCCACACTCTCTTCTTCATCCAACAATTCATCCTAATATCCACCCCTCATCTATTCCCCATTCATCTTTCTGATCTCAATCTTACACACACCCTCTACTTTTCAATTACCCCTTCGAATTCAATCACCTATTCAATATTATATTCAAATATCCTATCCCATCCCATCCTTCCACATCCCCTCTCATCTCCTCACCCCTCTCCCTCTCCCTCTCCCTTCTCCAAATCAGCAATTACTCCATTCCAATCTCTCAATCTTTCAACAACCCCTTCCTTCCACATCTTTCAAAATCTTTCAAAATCTTTCAAAAAGCTCCAAGAAATAAAAAGATTATATACACATAGCAAGATACACTTTTAAACATACTTCTCCTCCCTATATACTTCTGCTCACCATATCCTTCTCTTCCCTCCCTTGCCATTCCGCTTCCCCTTCCCCATATATTTCTTTCTCTCTTCTCATTATTATTCGTCTCCTTCCTCTTTGCCTCTCCTCTTTCCCTTTACCATTCCATTCCCTTCCCCTTCGCCTTCTTCATTCCTCACCCTCACCCTCACCCTTATTCTCATCCTCACCCTCACCACTACTATCATACCTATACCTAGTACTTACACATTAAAAATTACTCACTCCATATAAAATCCTATCATCCTATCAACTAACAACTAACGGTCTAACATCCATCCTCCAAACATCACAATCATCCAACACCCAAACATCCAATCTCCAAACATCACAAAATCACAACCAAAAAAAGACAAATACATAAAGATATTCATTAATTCCAATTTTTCATTTTTCCACACCCACCTATTTCTATCCACGCTATTCTATCCTATCCTATCCTATCCTGTCATATCCCAACATCAAGCATCAAGACTTATAACAGTAATCCATCCCACCATCAAACCATCGCAAACCCACGCATACATACATACATACATACATACATACACCAATTGATGTCAATTCTCTCAATTCTCTCGAATCCACAATTCCTCTCTCACTCCCCTTCCTCACTACTGTACTCTATTCATATGGTAAACCATCACACCGACTTCGATGAACACCACTCACTTCTCCGCCGCAGCACCACTCTTCAAACCTCCCTTTCCTCCAAATTTGAGATCGGTTTCCAGCTCATCCCCTGGTTGATCATGTCTACTATACATCTTATATTCCACCGAATCCTTGAATTCCAACTTCCCCGATTCAACCTGTTTTCTCGTGGCTGTGAGTTTAGATTTAGGAAGACCCATTGATTCGAGGAATTTGACAGCTATTGTATTGTTAGTGAGTGTTTATTGATTTGTGATAATTGGGAGAAAAGAAGGAATCCGAAAATTTGGAGTTCACGGTGAAAAACTTACTATCAGTCCACTCAACCTCCTTTCTCTTATTACTCCATCCAAGTTCTCCAGCCATAATATCAATAACCTTTGGTGCCGCCTCCAAAGCAGCCTGTGCATTCAAGAATGCCAATCTAGTTCTTCTTGCAAGTACATCAACTGCTGTTTGAGCATATTCATGTCTAACAGCATATCTAACCTCGCCATCCACAAATGGATAAAGTGGGGAAATCTTTTCACCTCTAACTGGGAAACGTTGTTCGGTAGGTGAAGAAAGTGATGCGACAGTCCAAGCTCTATCACCGTAATTCTCAGTCAAATGCTTGGCAACATCTGTTTCTAATCCGAAATGTTGAATAAGGTTGATGAAGAGAGTTTTCGAAAATCCATGTGCACCAACCAATTTAACTTGATGAGTTTGACAAGTACCATTGAGATGAGCACCATCATCGTGAAGTTGAGTTCCGGAAACATCTGGTGCATCTCTTACTGGCTTCGTCTTAAGTCCGAATTCCGAAATGGCTTCATCAACACATTCTTCTGCCATTTGACGATAAGTTGTCCATTTACCACCTGCACAAGTCAAGAGACCTGACGGTGAGATATTGATGAGATGGTTTCTAACAAGGGATTCCGTGTTTTTCGCATTTGGATCCTTTACCAAAGGACGAATACCTGACCAAGCAGCTAGAACATCACCTCTTCTAACATTGATATCTGGTGCAAGGTATCTTCGAATTTCCGAAAGAATCCAATCGATTTCCTCTTCTGATGCAACTGGGTTATACGAGATTTTTGTAGGAGAATCTGTTGTACCAGCGATTGTGTTTCCTTGCCATGGAAGGAAGAAAATAACTCTGCCATCTGAAGTATTAGGATCAATAAGACCCATCTTTTGAGGACTGTAATAACCGGGTAGAATAACGTGAACACCCGAACTTGGTGCTACAATTTCCTTAACCGCTTCATCATCCATCTTTCTGATTGAATCGCAGAAAGGACCTGTTGCGTTGATAACACCCTTTGCTCTGATTTTGAACTCTTTTGATGTTTTTCCGTCCTTCTCATCTATTAAATCTCTGACGGTTGCACCGCAAAGTTTTCCATTGGCGTCCTTTTCTAATCCGGTGACTTCAAGATGATTTACCACGGTACCTCCATATAACGCAGCAGTCATAGCCAACGAGACATTCATTCTCGAATCGTTATGAGCACCATCGTAATAAACCAGAGCTCCGACCAAATTATCCTTCTTCAACATGGGGAAGGCATCGAGAGCCTTACTCCTCGTCAAAAAGTAACTCGTTTCGATACCCTCACTTCCAGCCAAGAAATCATACGCCTTTGTACCTGCCCAATAATAAGGTGCTTTCCACCATTTATCCAAAGGCAACATAATCGGTAACCAACTCGACAAATGTGGTGCGGTATCCAAAAAGTATTTTCGTTCCCTCAATGCCTCCTTGACCAACGCATATTGATTATAATCCAATTCCCACACTGCCTTTTCCAAATATCGCACACCTCCATGTACCAACTTTGTACTCTTGGAACTTGTGCCACTGCTGAAATCATCTCTCTCGACCACTGCCACTTTCAATCCGCGAGTTGCCGCATCGAGTGCGACGCCTGCACCTGTGGCTCCGGCTCCTATGACCAATAAATCATAAACATCGTCTTCGTTCTGCGGCACACTTATGGAACCTTGAGATCCTCCACTTCTCTTCAAATCTGCAATTTGTTCTAATCTGCTCTTGATCTTGGGGAATCTAGGAGGGATGAAATGGCCATCTGCGCCGAACGGTGGAACGACTGCGGAATCTGAACCGGGGATGTTTCGTGGTCGGTATGTGTAGTAGAGAACGCCACCACCTACTGATGTAGCTCCAATGGTATATAATAAAGGTTTTGCGAGGCGTTGACGGAACGCCATTATCAATTAATGAAATATGCGGATGGGAAATTCGTGGGGAGCTGGAGAAGAGGAGCACGAGGAGGTTTCGAGGAATGGAGGAGGAAAGGTTGGAGAAATGGGGAGTTGGAGAGAGTTGGAGAGTTATGGAGCGGCAAAGTTGTTGTGATCTCAGGCAAAGTCCAAGTGGAGATTTTAATTCGTGTTGGGTTGGTTGTGTATGATGATGATGAAAGCGCCTGGTATGCCAAACTTGCTAAATATTAATTGAATGCAGATCAGCCCGCTTTATTGATCCAACTAAGAGATTTCAATTGCTTTATGAAGTCGGGAAGGGATGTCAACCAAAAATCAAAAGGAATTATTCCAAGGTTGGTTTCAAATCTTGGTTCTTTTAGGAGGGGTGATATTGAGGTTGGATTGGGACGGGATACTTGAAATAATTATTAAATGAAAATGAAAATGAAAATGAAAATGATTGAATTCTAGAATAAAATCTGGAATGTCGAATTGTATGAATACTATGTAGTATTGAACAATTCAATGGATGATATTTGATAACAAAAGAAGAAAAGGTCAGGGAATCAATCAATTATGCACAATGAGGGGAAATACTAGATGTATATGTATATATGTATATCTATCTACCTATGTATATCAATATCAACATCAACATCAATATCTACTACGTCTTTTGGTCAAACTATCATTTTCTACCTCACCCTTCACCTTCACTCCCACCAAACCTCTCCCACCATTCAAGTGAGGAACGTGCACCCGGATGTCCATTTTTGGACAAGCGCATTTCATAAATTCTGATCTTTCTCCGTTCCGTTACACCATTCCTCCCCTGTTCCTAATCTTCCTTTCCATTCTTCTCAGGAATTCTTCCTCCAATGGAAAAAGAGTAACATTTGGCTTTGAGCTTGCATAATCGAGGTGCACATGATAGAAATATTACCGCCAACGTATTATGAGTATATGTTGAGCGAAGTTCGAGAACATGAATAACATGGATGACACGAATAGACGCGGAATAACCGGAAAAAGGGGCTTACATAGACTACCTAACTATAAAATTACTCCACCAGAAAAAGTCATTCATTCAATCAAATCAAATTTATTTAATCCGGAAAAGTCATTCCACTTCTTCGCAAACTATGGGAAATGGGAACACTTTATGAGTAAAAGCACTCCAGGACTTGGAAATTACCCCACCTTTTTCTTGTCCCATGGGACATTTTTCTCTGGGGCTGAAATGTTGTCCATGTTGATCATTTATGTTCAGTGGCTCGAGTGGTTGTTTATACTTCCTATACCGGAGTACCACCGAGTCAAATAAGCTGATATCATACAATACATACTTCCCTACTTTGGTTCCTTCCCCGTCCGATGGGATCCATGGCATTTATGATTTCGAAAGGAGTCCGAAGATCGTGACATCAAACTCAAACTCGGATTTTATATTCCTGTCAGTGTCAAACACACATGATTGCTGCAGTTCTAAGCGATCTTTAACATTTGACACATAGCTTGTTCTCGGTGCCCGTATTCGGTTTGGATATCGGTGAGTTAAACTGCTCGGGTTTCCTGAAATCATTAGCTCAGTGATGATCACCAAGTAGCCAAGATCTACATGTTTGGGGATAACAGATCACCATTTTCTAACCTACTCAGTTATTTGACCATTGTGTATATGTTCTCGAGCGCAGCGAGGTAAAGGGGGTTTGGGGGTTTACCCCCATCAATTAAAAAATCATGCATGGAATACAATGTCGCTCCGCTAGTCCTTCGAGGACCACTGCCGTGGAGGCAGACTATTTTGAAAGGGTTTCATATGTTATCCACTCGCCAATGCTATACGGGTCATATATATATAGCTGTCGAAGAACTCAGGATTCGAGGATCTGATACAAATGCCGACCTCTATGTCGCACACTCAAGAAAATTTGTTCGATTTTGAGGTTGATTTGATCCATGAGCCCACCAACAAATGAATATGCTTCTAAGCTTCATCCGAAAGTATCAGTACACGTGAGAAGGGAATCAAAAAATTGAACGATAATTTGGATTGCTGCCTATTAATAAGATTCGAATATATCGGCTATCGAAAGCAGGCAGCAAGAGCGAGAGAATGAGGCGAAGTAAAAAAAAATCACCTCCCGATCCATTCACGTGGTTTCGAAATGGAAAATTAACACACCACCTTATATAACCATATGGAATCGCCCTGTTTCAAAAACCACAAAGGAAGCGGCGGCCTTTATTTGGAGTTGACAATCCACAGCTTCATGGGAACATTTTTACCTTTTGGAAAGCCTGTAATGTAAATGACAGAGTAACGAAGTCGTATCACACCTACCGCGCATCACTCTCAGGGTCCTTTCGATATTAAATTCGACTTCGAGGCTGCAACCTTCTTTTGATGGTGGACATTACTGGCCTATGGCGCTCGATTGGGGTGAAATATTATATGGCCGCAGGAGTATTGCAAATTGCCAGACACGTAACCATCCGTCTTTATCGAGTGATACGGATCTGAAAGTCATCACTGAATGATATACCACTTGATAAGTTGTCAAGTAGGCATACTTTGGCTGTACACTAGTACAGTAGAGCCCAGTCATGCAAGAAGCCGGTTGTAGCAAACGCCATAAGAGCTTTCATGGAACCTGGAGGAATACCTCCTTCAAATCTCATGGATTCCAGATTTGTTATTATCTCGGATCTGAGCTCTAGCTGTGTATAAAAATGCCCTGCACACCATTAGCGCACACGAGTTCCGCGTTTGTTCAATGATATAATTACACGCAACAAACGCCGCTCGCAGATGAGGGTAACATTGATATCGGTAAGATGCATCGAGGAAATGAGATCTCCAGGATTGAAAGAATCCTACAGGGTTGCTCAAGCTAGCGCCGGCACTGGATTGATATTGAACTTCGGTCCCTTTAGCTTCCTTCAAATGTTTCAACCAATAAGGCAAGGATTCCCGAACCGATATATCGGATGAGATACCAACGCTTCCTGAACATTCCCGAGTCATCAAAACAAACAATTAAGCTGTGAGATTAATTTATTCCTAGGCAATCTTTGGTCGAGGCTTGGCACCAAAAGACATCCGTCATCGATGGATATCATTGATTATTTGTAGGTAAGTGATCAAGTGAGGATCAGAAGAGATGAAGAAATCCCATCAATATCAATTCCTGACAAGTCTTGTCATTTCAAGGCCTCGGAGTGTATTTCAAAGTTACATAATACTATTTGAAGTGACGGGTTAATGATTGGTCAAGAAGTCAAAGTTTAATGAACCATGGTATGATCAATGATTGAAGTGAATTTTTATCCTAGATGTCCACGAGTTCCAGAGTATGGTGGGCGATGGGTGAGATCGATGTTGAGGGTGAGGATGCGGCTCCTTCCGTTGGAAAGCAGTTTCCTGATTGGTCATTACGGAGAGGAAGAATACAAAACAGTGGTAGAAATATTATCGTCCCTTCTCGATTTGATATCGGGACGGAACATTCAAGAAAAACCAAAACTACCCGAGGATCCGAGAGTAGTTTTCGGTATCTTGACGGATGGTTGGGTGGTATTCCGTTATTGAATTGAATGCTTATCAATTCTCTCTTCACTCCCATCATATTACAATACTGTGCTGCGCGTACTTCTTCTATATCAAACCCCTTCGCGTTCGCGTTCACCTTCAACTTCAAAATATTAATTTTGGTCAAATTGATTCCAATCAATTTGAACATAGAAATAAAATCACCTTCTCCTCTCTGCTTTCTACCCCTCTTCTTCCTTCCCACTTTACAATCTCCAAACCTTCAACCGTCAAACCTTCAACTCTCAAAATTGAACCTTTTGAGTTTGAGTTCGATCTTTATTTAGATCGCCAATACAAGCACCCTGTCTAATACCTTCTTTCTCCGAATAATCCTCGAGTCATTCGAAAAGGATCACAATAGTCAAGTCTTCATCATGACAGACCATTCACAACAACAGTCCGCCATTTCCAATTCCTCCTACTATAGCACGGCAACTATGAAGCCAGTTCCTGCACCTCCATCAGTTTCCAGTGCTCCACCAGGATGGCTCTACAAACGTATCCGCATTGGTAAATATCGTCTTCCTTATTACGCGTCGCCACAAATTCAACTGGTCTTGGTCGCACTTGTATGCTTCCTCTGTGTTGGCATGTATAATGCGCTCAGTGGTCTTGGTGGTGGTGGTCAAATTTCTGCAAAGCCAGCAGATAATGCGAATTCAGCTCTCTATTCCACCTTCTCGGTCGTGGGTTTCTTCGCAGGTACCTTCGCAAATCGTCTCGGAATTAGACTCACTTTAAGTTTGGGTGGATTGGGCTATTGCGTCTATGCTTCAAGCTATCTCTGCTATAGTCATACTCAAAACACGGGCTATGTTATCTTCGCAGGTGCATTACTTGGTGTTTGCGCTGGTCTCCTCTGGACAGCACAAGGTGCCATTATGATGTCTTACCCGCCGGAAGAATCAAAAGGAAAATACATCTCATGGTTCTGGTCAATCTTCAATCTTGGAGGTGTCTTTGGTGCTTTGGTAAGTTCAATCGCGCGCATCCTTTATGAATTACGTACTAATGATTTACTGTAGATTCCTCTTGCCTTGAACATCAACGACACATCAAATCATGTTGTTAGCGACGGTACATATATCGGTTTCATCATTCTGATGTTTATTGGAGCACTCAGCGCGTTATGTCTATGTGATGCGCATAAAGTTCGACGTGCCGATGGATCTCATGTCATTCTCATGAAAAATCCAACTTGGAACACAGAAATCTGGGGACTCTGGTATACACTTAGGAATAACGTCTATGTCTTCCTCCTGTTTCCAATGTTCTTCGCCTCCAATTGGTTTTACACATATCAATTCAATGGAGTCAACGGCGCACACTTCAATACACGAACTCGAGCCCTCAACAATATCTTGTACTGGTTCGCACAAATTATTGGTGCTTTCTTATCCGGTTACGCCTTAGATATTCAAAGATTCAAGAGAACCGCCAGAGCAAGAGCTGGCTTGATTGTATTGATCGTCCTGACTGCCGCTATTTGGGGTGCAGGTTATGGTTTTCAATCTAGTGTTCCTGATCGTGATGTCACTGGTAAAATCGATTACGAAGGCAAGATCGATTGGACAAGTGAAGGTTACGCTGAAGGATTGGTGTTGTATATTGCCTATGGATTCTATGATGCTGTCTGGCAATTATCTGTCTACTGGTATGTATTATGGTTCCAAAATTGCTCCTCAAAACTAACACCTTATAGGTTCATGGGTGCACTTTCCAATTCCGGTAGAAAAACAGCAAATTTTGCTGGTTTCTATAAGGGCATCCAATCTGCTGGTGCTGCCATCGCTTGGCGCATCGACGCAATGGAGTATCCATACCTTACTCAATTCGCCATTACATGGAGTCTTCTTGCTGGTTCCCTTGTTGTCGCAGCACCTGTTATCTTCTTGAATATCAAAGAAGCTACATCAATTGATGACGATATTCTTGATACTGATCTTAACTATGCGGATATTATCCCTCAAGCTATTCTTCTTGATGAAGATAAGAATTATCATGGTGGTCACAGCAGTTCAACAGACACACGTCGTCCGTTTAATTCCACTAGGGATGATATGGAACTTCCTCACCTTCGACATGAGAAGAATTCCGAAGATATGGTTTAAATCGGTCAAAAGATCCAAGAGTAGGTTATTACAGTTAGCAAGGTCTATCCTCCCTTGGACTTGACTGGTTTATCTTTTATTTAAGATGTCAATGTTTATTTGCTAATGGAAGGATGGAGAGATTGAGGGGAAGGTTTCATTTTCGTTTATTTTTTCTCGTCACAACACTTTTTACAAACGACTGATTGTGAACGAGTACCGAGTATATGCTTGAGATAATTTTTTCGATTTCGATTTCAACGGGGACGTTTCTCGTTTTTCTGATATTTTACAACGCAACAAAACGACATACGGTTCAGCGGTTCGGAAATTTGCTTTTTTCATGTTTATGGTTGTGGTAAATGGATGTGAGATGCGAGTTCTTAAAAAAAGCAAATTGCGAATGAAGGATCAATGTTATATCAGAATCAATAGTTGAGATTTTACGATTGAAGAATGGAGTGTACGAATGGAGTGGTGGTTTTATGGCATGGCTAGGATTCAAAGCATATACTTGTGGTAATGATTCTTCGGATGAATTCAAACTTGACGTGGATACTTTATACATTTAACTTTAGAGGTACCACGGATGGATTTGATTGAAATCCATGAGTTTCGAACTTCTTTTAGATACTTGATGATTGATGCTTGTTGCTTCAAATGAGATGTTTATTAGCGCATTGGATTGTTGTAAATTGAGCAGATACTCTAGGTGATAGTGATAGTGGAGAAATAATTAATTTATGCGTGGTTCTTATTACATTGACTGTGGTGGTGATGATGGTGATGTAGGTGATGATGATGATGTGTATTGCTGTGTGAGTAGGTGCGCATGAGTGTATGGATGTATGTGGAAAATAGAGAGTGTGAACTGTGGTGATTAGATATCTGGGTTGTAAATGTATTTCGATATTATACAAAACCGAGGGTAATAGGGTGAGAGGCCGCAAGGGAAAACATGAGGTGATTTTGTCCTTCTTCGTCTTCTTCTTCTTGGGGATTGTATGGTGGATGGTTTTTTTGGAGGAGAGGAGAGGAGAGGGATAGAAAGAGGAAAGAATTCGAAATTTAGGATTTGGGATAGGGAGAGGGAGAGGAAGAAGGAGAGGGATTAGGTAGGGGTATGGATATGGATATGGATATGGATTTAGGAATGATAATAATTTGTAGTGTAGAGTCGAAATCTATGGATATGAAATGTGATGGTGAGTGATAAGGATGGTGATGGATAAGAATGAGAATGAGAATGAAGATGGAGATGGAGATGGAGATGGAGATGGTGGGAGTTGTGAAGGATTAGATAGAGGAGGATTGAAGGGATGTAGTTTAATGTATAGTATTGAAGAGGGTTTTGATCGTATCGGAGCTAGGATAGAATGGGTGGGAAATGCGGATTTTGAAATGGATTTGATACTCGGGGTAATAAAGCGGCGGTCCTATATAGATAGAGTCAAAAGGGTAGGTACTTTAGGATATACTGAGCTTGGTTGGAGGTTCTTTGGGGGTGTAATGTGAGAGTATAAGCGAGATACTTCAGGTTGCTGAAACAGCTAACTTTGAAGTATAAAAGAGACCTGTCCTGACTGGAAAAATCAAATTACAAGATCATAATGATCTCGAAACCCTTTTCAATATTTTGGATCGCAGAGATGAATATGGAGATTTTGGGAATCAGTATTTTAGCGGAGGGTTTGTAGGTTAGTAGAGGAGGACATTGTAGGTTCTTAGGGTTTCGATGATAGTAATGTTTAAGTATATCAAGATGTTGATGATGAAAGAAATGTGGAGAAACGATAGTGAAAAGAGTGAAGAGGTACTCACTATATATGATAATAAGAGAAGATGCGAAATGTAAAGTATAAAAATATATCAATATCAAAGCACGAAGGATTCCTCCGAGTTGGGAAGGGGGATAACACTACAGTGTTTTGCCGTGGATTCGAGTTGAATGATAAGATCGCATCTACCCTAATCATGCAAATTTTTGGAAGTGATTTGATGGAGTAATTTGGAGTTTGGGGTGGTTTTATAGGGAAGGGCTGGGAATGGAGTTAGAGTTGGGATGGGGATCGGGGTGAAACTAGATGAGATATACAGAAAGATAGAAAAGAGAACAGCGGGGTGGAGTAGAGCTTGATAGACGTGGGGAGATGACAATCTGGAGCGGGGCGTGGGAGGAAAGAAGTAACTGGGTGAAGAGCTAGGGGACGATTAGCCGTGAGAGAACGTATAAGAATGGTTTCTTTTCTTGATTAAATGCATCATGGCTTCTGGGTTTTTATTGATATGGATTTAAGGAATTCATGGATGAGATAACAATAGTACCTCTATTAGGGATTAGAATACTGCCAGCTAGATCAAAGACCTTCACAGATTAATTTGGCAAATGAGAAGAAGCTTAGAATGATAGTGAAAATGGTAGTCAGTGGAAGATAATGATGATAAAACAGAATAATGATGCATATTGAAGCGCAAGATGTAGCGATGAGTACATACTATATTAAACATGGAGTCGAATTGATCTTCAAGATTTTCTACGTATTTGGCTGGAAGATTGACAACGACAACAGCTTCGTCTAAATTGGTGCATACGCATCTCATTGCATGCGAACGAGAATTGGTTGTAAGACAAGTGTGAAGAGCATACAGAGAATAATGTACACAGCGAACTATAGAAACAAGACTACGTCGTTAAGAGATGAAAATTCGTGCGATTGTGGAAGAATATACTATCGAGGGCGTCAAGTGGAGATGTGTAGGTCGGTTTATAAGCTGGTAAGATTTTATTTTGTCTCATTGATGAAGTATATGGAAAGGACTAGATTTATGTTGTGGTGAGTGTGATTGAGAAATTATACTTGATGTGTGATGAACATTTGACGGCTATGGAGATGGCGTGGTTTGATAAGTATTACAGGATCAGAGAATAGGATGGGTGAGTATCATAGTGGAAATGTTAAACAAGAACGAAACCTAAATATAAGATAATGATAGTAGCGAAATGAAATGGCGGTGGTGCTTCGTTTATAGAGTGCTTGTATTATACTACAAAATTGGGAGATCGTGAAAGCTATGCATTGTTGAACTGGAATATTGCTGAGATAATTGAAAGGGTACTTGTCGTTGGCAGCACGTCTCAGTAGTAGATGTTACTTGATCATATAAGAAATTCACATTAATCGCGTTGCAAGAGAGTTGAGTGTTGATGTATAGAATTGATATATATTAATACAAGATTATAAATTATTTCCATTTGTGTACAGAATATGTGACAAACTTCAATCTCCACAAAAACTATCGCTGGCTCCAGATACGCTCTAATGAGAAGCAAGACTCCTGCTACAATCCCTCAAACAATGTCCTCCAAACGGACTAAATCTCCATGCGCTTAAGAAGAGTAGAAAGCGATACCGGCAGAGATCGCATCACCAATAAGCTTAGCGGCCGCTTCAGCTCTGGGGATGACATCCTCGGAGGTTCTCTTGATCAGGAGTCCACCGAAAGTATTGTAGTCACTCTGTAAGACTACCAACCACGCGAGAATAACCGTTCTTTGATCACTTGTGAAGTATTCTTTCTTGGCTTCTAAAGCGGTGATAGCATTGGGGATGTCAATAGACAAAGTTTCCTCGATGGTGGCTACGACACGGCTGGAATCTTCTGAGCTAGCTGGAGCCTCGAGAGCTGCATCGGTGACTCCTTGCTGATTTGCGACGTGAAGGGAAGTGAAGTCGACGTCCACGGTAGAGGAGTCAAGAGTTTTCTCCTTGACGTCGCCAACGGCGCTGGCCAAGATAAGGACTTGAGCATCGATACTGTTAATGTCGGCGATGACGCTATCGGCGGTAGTAACAGATTTGGACGCTGCGGCAGGAGCTGCTGAGACGGCGACGGCCATGGTGGCAAGGTAGAAGGCAAGAGCTTTGATGGAGACCATGATTGCGATTGTTGATTCTTGAAGTGAAGAATGAAGATAGATATTAAGCTTGGTAGTGAACTGAATGTGAAGATTGATGCTTTTTGAAAAAATAAGAGATCTCACTGTGGTATTTATAACATGCCTCGACGACTGACGGAGCTCATCAATATGCGCAAAATCACAAAATCTTGAAGATCTACAGAACTAGTCGATCTCGATCATCCAGCTTCTACACTTGTAGATTGAACTCTGGGAAAATAACGGAGAATTCCTCAGCAAATTGAGGCTTAAAATACTGGTAAAAAGTCAAGGAAGATCGAAGTCAGGTCTGTTCGACACATAGCTTCCGGTCACCACTTGGGACCAAATTTTACGATTGCTGCTGCGCTCACTTCAAGAAAGTCTTTCATGGAAATAGGGTTTGTTAATGCAAATTCGTGATTTTTCGTAGCCAGTCTTGCTGTATCAAAGTTTTTGTTCGGTGGTGAGGTATTCCGGTCGTCATGGAAGCATTACTACGTCCACTACGACGGATGCAAAGTTGATTTTTAGGTGGAAGACAAGTGGTCAAATGTCTGGTGTGATTAAGTAATCCCGCTTTAATAATTTGGTCTAGATTCACTCAATGACTTAGCGCGCGCTCTGCAGTGCATGCTACGCTAATCTTGCCCATTCCAGTGAAGGTGTGTTTTCGAGAGACATAGAGACTCTCGAACATTGACATTGACTTTTGCCAGCCTTTCAGATTGGACGCGTCTTTGATTACGAGAATTTCATTGCAGAGACGGAGAGAATTATGATTAATTAGATTAGGACCTTTGCCTACGTTACTGTTGACACATAGAATCAGTATCTCGAACATCTGACAATTGAATATCAATAGATGTTCGAGAAGAGTTACAGAAGACGTCCCATAGACATATGCATACCATACAAAAAAAAACTTGCCAGAAGGTAGGAAATTACTATAAGAAGATGCATCAAACATCATACATCGTAAGACTTGATAATGATCTACAATGACTATTGTATAAAATCGATAAATAGCGGTGGGATGTAGGGAAATGAAGCTAATGCCACCCTAAATCGATCCGAGCTAAACCTTATTTCATCGTCGATCCACTAATTGATGTTCCACTTCAGCGCTTGTTTCACATTTCATCTGTACCTGCATTGTATTTTTGAAGGGTTCAAGACTTTTTAGTTTCATTCTTCGTCCAAAGACTTTGTTCCATGTAATGAAATAGATTCATTAAAAAGAGAGGGCGGGGGATGAGATTGAAAGAAAGAGGGGACGGACTCCAGAAGATAGTTACAATTGAATTAGACAATGATCAGGTTTTGGGTTAATAGTCTGATACATTCCGCATAAATGGAAAAAGAAGCAAAGGATATTGAGTTGTATAATGATACAATTGAATATCTAATCTTCGTTGAAGATAGCTATTTTTATCCTTCCGAAGCGCTCTCCTAACAATTATCACACTTGCCGCTCATGTCGGTGAAGTTGCTTAAGCTCAAGCTCATTACCATGTCCATTGGGATAAGGTATATCTTCATCTTCAGGCACTGACCATTTCTGATAGACCATCTCACCATGTTGTACAAAATGTCCTTCATTATCAATACCAATAACAGGATCTCTCTTCACTTCCAATACAGCGCCACCCAGAAACAAAGGAACTGCGAACCGAAAGACTGCGTAATAAATGAAACCAGCTAGAACGAGTGTCCATCCGATTGTGGGAACAATGTACCAAGGTATGGAACTTCCAGAAGATGGTTCGGGAATCCATAACGCGGCCACTGGAAACGCATTGGCGAAGAAAACAATAATTGCAGTTAT